TTTATAATGTTCCAGAATGATATATTTCGGGTGACTTATCATTTGCTCAGAGGAATTAAAATTACTTACGAAATAATTGAGTCAGGAATGGTGTACTACCTACAGTAAGATCAAAGTTCGCTGTCAGTTTGTTTTTTATATGCAATTTAGTGGTCAGATCAAATCCAGGCCCCTCTATTAAAATCAATATTTATTAGGGGGTATGGAAAAACAAAAAATAGAACTGTGAAAAGCAATCTCTCACGCGAGGAACGTGCGGAAAATTGGCAGTTCGATATTATTTTTGGCCAGCTCTTTAGATATAACACTTGACTTGCCAATCCAGCCATTTTATTGGGCGCGCTAATAAAATAATTTCGATGAAATCTGATTTTTTATATGTACATATAGATTTATATATGCCAATGGGTTGGAAAATTTCTGGGCAACAAAAACCATTTCAAAGTATTCGGATGTCAGACGTGACCAAACATCTCAAAGGGCACATTTCGGCGGGGCTTTTCATTAGGCCGAAATGCATTTTGGTTACGTACTCACTCCGTTTCCTTGACTTTTATGACAATTCAATTATTCCATTTGCGGTTTATTGTCACCATTTCTCACATGCAAACAAATAATTACAGGCAAAAATTTTAGCAGGTGATTGAAGGGCTGGATGGGTGGACGTTAGATAAATGTCGTGGCGACGACCAAGGCAGTCCAAGGGTAGAGGGCATTTCTGGGGCTTCCTCCAGCCAAGGTGGACGATAAAAATAGTAGGGGTTGTTGCTTTTTAGCCCGGTCAATTGAAAGGCTATAAACAACAATATAGTCCAGAGGCAGGTTATATATATCATCAGATACTGCCGCCTGACTCAGAATTCAACATTCGGAGGCGGGGGTACTTTCCCCTAACCAGTTTTGCGAGTACTTCCTTACGATCGTCCCCAGGAAAGACAAAAACACGCGACAATCTCATGTCTCCCTCCAATTCCGATGATTCCCCGGTAGATATTATCATGCAAGGCTCGCTTAGAATCGCTTAACTCGTAAATTCGTAAATGCTAATTGCTAACTTTTATTTTGTCGTGTTTTTAAAGCTTTTTTGGGCTGTCGTAACGAGCATTTCTTTATTTGTCTCATGAGTTTTATATTCGCTTTTTCTTTATTTAAGTGCCGAAATGCTTTTTGTGTTAAAGTGGCTTTGTTTGAATGACAAACACAACTTGTTTTTACATATTTTGTTCTCTGGTTCATCGAGTTTTAGCGGTCGGGGAATTCGAGAGTGCAATACTTCAGAAAATCTTATATGGGGAATCGAACGAAAGATCATTATAGATTCCATTTGGCGATCTAAACGTTTCCGGAACAAGTTCTCTCAGACAGCTTCGGGTTTTTGTTTTTCTATCGGGGCATTTACGGATATATGGATGTGGGCAATTCATTTGCAGTAATTCAATTAAATAATCGTTTTGGATTTTATCACAGCATTAATGGTCACAATTACGCTGTGGCTTTTGTTCCTTGTCATCTAAATTGAAACGAAATAAACTGTAAAACGATGATGAATTATTTGAGGAGTGTGCAAGAAATTTGCAGTTAGTAAAGTAGTTAAATAAGTATAACAAAGGCTCGTTTGATCAGCTTCAAGGGACCCATAAAGCCAACTGTTTATTTCCGATCTCGCTGTGTTTGAACAAGTGTGCCATTTCCTTGTATTTGTTTACTTTCCTTTACTCTTTTTAAGTCTGCTTATTGTTATCACAGGCATTGCGAAAATGTCGCCAGGTGATCTTAAAGTATTTACAGCCAAAGTCAGCAACAAACTTGTTAGGTAGACAAAGACAATATGAACAAAAGCTACTGCGTTCTGTATTTGCATATATCTCCGACTTCAGAGATATCACCACAAGTTGATTGTTGATTAAAAAAGGCAATGTGTTAAATGCGGCCGGAAATTTGCACTTGGCTGTTAAGTTATGAAAGGATCGTGCATGGGAACTCAACTCCACTCTCTTTTGTATGCCCCACACGGCGTATACGTGACTTTCATACGACATGTGGGCCATATGATTTTTACTCACACTTCGATTGCTGGTAGTCACATGCATAAACTTTTTGCACCTAAAGAACTTTATTTCGGCTTTGATAAATGCATTTCACCTGACTTTGTTATTTATTATCAATTTTATGGAGGACTTTGGGAATCGGTGAAATAAATACTAGAAGCTACAAAGCTGTTGACACCTTGAGCTTGGTGATCTATCAAATGACAAATGAGGCTTTGCCCGGTGTCTTCGGGTTAGATAAGAGCCCCTGTCGGTTTCTGGGTAACATAACATTACTAGGGTCTACTTTTTTGGTCTGGTTTAGACAAACAACAACCCCAACCCCAACCCCAAGTCAGCCCACCACACCTTTGCGGTTTATCTGGAGCGTGCGTCTGCAACGATCCTATCACATGACTTGGGCCTGCGGTCTTCGGAGTGATTTTACTGGCACGTGACGTGGTTCTCTGTGTCAATATTTGCACTGACTTTGCACAACACTGCCAGTAATTAAAAAGAATCCACATACACGCACATAAATCGTAAAATGCAGCAAACATGGGGACAGCAAATGCAAATACTTGTATTGCCTCAGCCGGTTGGTCAGATAAAAGGTCTATGTAAATATTATGACTGCCAGTTGGGCAAACGCTAAGGCTGGCGACATTTTCATAAATAAGATCTTAAGGCAATGCTTTAGTAAATATGGGTATATATCATGTCATAAAAATGCTGAGTACTTTGGTTACCTTTTAGTCTTTTTATTTTATTTAAGTATAAAGCATTTGTTGAAGCTGGTAAATGAATGAATGAAATTTATTTTCATTATTATTTTTTAGATTCATTTTCCATTAAAAAACTCAAATAAACCTTATGTTTTATTAGGATAATATTGTGGTTATTACGCAATCTATATGAATACAAAATATTTCATTATAGAAATTTTATTTTTAAATTTTGTAATTATTTCTCGTTGATTTCCATTGACATATTTTAGTTGGATTGTTAAAAAAAAGCAGTATTTACGGAGTAATTATTCTTCAGAATTCATGGATTAATAATGATTGAATAGAATTATTGAGTTTGGTTCAAATTCCATTAGCTATATCAATATTAACTGATTTTCTTGGGGATTAATCAAAATCTTTCATCGAGATTTGACTTCCAAGCCTAATGACCCATAATTATCACCGAAGGAGTACTTGATTGAATTGATTTTAGTTGATTTATTGTTTCTTATTGACGGATTTGCACCTAGGTGGTTAATTTGGGAGAACAAATACCTAATGACTTTTGTGAATGTTTACTTACCCACCCCATCCAATGTTCGTCTTTCAGGACCCGCCCACTGGGCCAAGGACTACCCACAAGCGTCGGGACATCGCCAGTCGCCCGTGGACATCACGCCCTCCAGCGCCAAAAAGGGCAGCGAACTGAAGGTTTCTTCGCTCAAGTGGAAGTATGTGCCGGAGCACACCAAGAGCCTGGTCAATCCTGGTAAGAACCATAGAGCTAATAAACAATTGTTTCATTGATCCATTCTGTTTTGGATAAATGTTCAAAATGTTCGGCTGATAAATAAATTGATTTCGCCATGAGAACAAAACTTAATTATAGTATTAAATCAAATGAAAAAAAATAAGTTCTTATTAGTAATAAATTATACTGCAAATTAAATTGAGCTCAAATCAATATAAAATCGAATAAATTTTTAATTTAATTACAATTATAAAACTATTATCAACAACATAACAAATATATATTTAACGTTTTGACAAGCTAAAATAAACTATACTACAAAAAAATCAATTTTATTAAATTATTTTCTATTTTAAACCACTAAAATACTTCCAAATAAATACCTATTTTTTACAATTTTTGTTTATTAACAATGTTAATTATTTACAGGCTACTGCTGGCGCGTGGATGTGAATGGCGCTGAGTCCGAGCTGACTGGCGGTCCCTTGGGCAATCAGATCTTCAAGCTGGAACAGTTCCATTGCCACTGGGGCTGCACGGACTCCAAGGGATCCGAGCACACCGTCGACGGAGTGTCCTACGCCGGCGAGCTGCATTTGGTGCACTGGAACACCACCAAGTACAAGTCGTTCGGCGAGGCGGCAGCCGCTCCCGATGGCCTGGCCGTACTGGGCGTTTTCCTGCAGGCTGGCCAGCACCATGCCGAGCTGGACAAGGTGAGCAGCCTGCTCCAGTTCGTCCTGCACAAGGGCGACCGCGTCACCCTGCCCCAGGGCTGTGATCCCGGCCAGCTGCTGCCTAATGTGCACACCTACTGGACGTACGAGGGCTCCCTCACCACGCCCCCTTGCTCCGAGTCGGTCATCTGGATCGTGTTCAAGACTCCCATCGAGGTGTCCGACGACCAGCTGAACGCCATGCGTAACCTCAACGCCTACGACGTGAAGGAGGAGTGTCCCTGCAACGAGTTCAACGGCAAGGTCATCAACAACTTCCGCCCTCCGTTGCCGCTGGGCAAGCGTGAGCTGCGCGAGATCGGAGGCCACTGATTCCCGCAGGGAAATGGTCACCCACTCCTTGGATAGTCAACGGATTCGAGTCGTATGATTAGCTGTTCGCACCCACACATCACATCCGTACGCCTCGAGCTGGACCGGCACATCCCACTGTTCAATTCTCGTCTTTAGTTCGTACTCTCAGCAAGCATACATACCTCCTATATGTGCATCCGTATCCGTATTCGCATCAGTGGATGTGTAGCTGTAACCTTAATTGTTAATGTACGCCTGTTCGTTTGTTTGTTCGTTAAACATTTGCAAAATGACAATTAGAATAATGTTATTATGGTATTATAAACTAAATATAACACGCTTAGATGTTGCATATGATGAATCAGGTGTCTTTTTATTTAATAATTCCCTCACAATATTGTGTGGTCTTTTCAAAGATGAAATTCGTTTGGTTCCGCGGAAAACTATCCATATTGGGTAACCTCATCTTCAGTTATGTTCCATTCTGCGGCATAAGCACCATCTCTCTTCCTTTTTGCAAGAGGAATTAATCAAGAGAAATATATATCCTTGTTCCATTGGCTCCTTTTTGCCTTTGTCATTTATTAGGATTTGGAGTGAAGTTTAGCAATTCATGCGGCTTTTTGGTCCATTGAAGAAAGTATTTATCTTTTAATTGACGCCAAGCCAACTGATAATCTGCAGCCAAGACTTTACAGGAAGCATATGTTATACGCTCATGATCGGTTATGCTTTGATTAAACTTTTCGCAGAGCTTTGGATTGAATCTTAGTAGGTCCAGAAAAGTGAGGAATAGATTATACTTGCTGACTGCCAAGGCAGCTTGTGGAGTGTTCATCTTTTTCTTAGTCACCCCTTGACGCTTTCCGTTTACAGAGACTTCATAGGGTCTGCATATAAAATAAATAATTATATTAATTTGTTAAGGAGATAATTATTCAGAGGCGACTTACCTCAGTTCCTCCGGCAGTTGTGACCAAACTAAGCCATTTGGCGAGGGCTGCCAGTCGGAGCGTTGGGAAAACTCAAAGTTTATGCCAGAATCTATTCGAATTTGAGGTTTTTGGGGATGGAAGCGATCATGCTTGAAGGACTTGCCCTCCCAACGTTTAAAGATGGCCCGTTCCAAGCACTCCAGATGGGCATTGCCACAACAAAAGTTTAGGCTGCTGAAGTAGATGGGTTTGGAGATCAGGGAGTCCAGTAGAGCTCCCTGCACCCCCAGCACATTCCACCGGGCTATCTTATCGCTACAGGACATGGATAAGGTGCGCTCTCCACGTCCTGGTTTGGTTCGTAGGACTCCGGGCGTCTGTTGCATCGGATCATCCTCTAGGTCACCTATCAACTTGGCACCTGTATAGACCATCTCGGATTCTTCATCCAGTCGCTGGCGTTTGGCATTCTTCTCTGGTTCCTCCACATCTAAGATGCAGGCATCGCCGCAGGGCGTCTGGGTGCTCAGGAAATGGAACTCCACGTGCTCATCCATGTCGTAGCTGTTCAGATTACAGTTCCACCGGAATATCCTCTCCTGCTTCAGCTCCTGGTATAAAAAACGGAGAAAGGCCCGTCGCGCCAACACCTCGGCATGGGAATCGTTTAGGATGAGACCTTGGGAACAGAGTTTGGATTGTCCTATGCACTTGGTTCCGCATCCAAGGGCCACCAGTTGACTGCTCCTCGTTTTCCGGTTGAACTCTACTATTCCCGCTAAAACGGTCCATTGATTGGCAGTGGGTTTTCCTGCTTTTGGCAAGGATTCGAATTTGTCGAGACAGAGTTTTGCTATATTCTGAGCACAAGGTTCGTTATCTGTAGTAGGCATTCTTAAAAAAATATTAAGCAACGAATTTGAACTGCTTTTGCTAATTTTAAGAAAACCTCGATAACATTTTGCAGTCCCAAATATTTGATGTATCGATACAATCGTGAATATATCAGCTGCTAGAAAAATACAAAATATGTTTGGCGAGCATTTTCAATTAAAGATTAGTCGTGGCTAATTTTGTGCCATGGTCACACTGTTCATTTATTTACATTTTTGTGTATTGTTGAAATCGGCAAAATTACTTTAAACTAGATCATTAACCATGCCAAAAGTAGTATCGCGCAGTATTGTCTGTTCGGATACCAAGGATCAAGAGGAGTACAATGAGGAGAAGCCGTTGAACATTTACTATTGCCTGTGCAACAAGATGGCTTTGATTCTGGGTAAAACCAACTGAAATACTAAACCAAAAGAATAAAGTCTAATGGTTAAGTATTATTTTCTCTTGAAGACTGCACCCTGGACCAGTTGCCCCTTCGGGAGGTGGACAATGCCCGCGTGATCAATGCCAACGACCATGCCAACAAACTCACCTACAATCCCACCCCGAAGATGATATACATAAAGCGGAAAAGCAGAGGCAATGCGATAGAGAAGCAGTACCGGTATAAGGTGAGCTTACCCGTTGTACTATTCCTATATAACCCACTTTAATTCATCGTTTTCCTCCAGTGCCGCAGCTGCAATCTGCCGCTTTACTATCGCCACAGCCCCGACTCCCAGGTGACCTTCATCATGTTCAATGCCCTGATCCGCAACAAGGGTGAGAGTCCTCTGACCCAGCTCCTGAACTCCGAGGCCAAGGGCAGCGCTAAAGCTCCTGCTGCCAAGTCCGCTTCTTCGGCGGGGGCTGAGGATTCGGGCATAGTCGACGCCAGTGGCAAGAAGGTCATGGTCACCAGGCACACCAAGAACATGGGCAAGTTCAGCTCGGTCACGGTGTCCACCATCGACGAGGAGGAAGATGAAATCGAAGCGGTAAGTTGACTTAAAACGGTGGAGCATTCAGCTCAATATCTTAATTGTTTTGATCCAACATCCAATATAAATGGGTCAAGATATGTGTCTAGATGACGCTGCATCTTTTACATACAGGTTAAAACCATCATGAAATCCTACCATAATAACCATTTTTTCATTGAAACAGCGCGAGATTGCCGACAGCTATGCGAACAATGCACGGATCATCGAGAAGCAACTGCAGCGTAAGGGCGGAAAACTGAGCGACGTTGGAATCAAAGGAAAAACAGAGGATGCGCCTCCGCCTCAGAAGAAACAGCGCGGTACCTTACTGGAGAGATAGTTACCATTTTCTCTTTAAGTACACTAATTTAATATATTTGACGATAACATGAGCTCAAGTACACCTAGAATGCTGCCTTGTCTTAAGGAAATCCAAACCAAACACTTTCTTAGCTATAGTAGACGCAAATGCCTTGGTCTTCTCAATCCCATTGGAACAAGACTGGGATGTTGTTCCAATAGCTTCTTGAGTCGCTCCTCGGCGTGCCTATGATTAAAAATTGAGTCTTTGACAAGACCACATTTGGGACAGAGATTGTACTGCGATCTTGGCTCTTCAAATTTGGATTGCTGCATTCGTCTCTCGACTTCCTTCATCCGACTGGTGGTACGTGGCGAAGTGTGTAGAGCTGTGAGGGGACGGCGGACGCTTTTCGGAGTGGAGTGGACCTGTTCCAAGGCTGTCTTTTGCTTGCTCTTGACCAGCTCAAGGGCTCGATCCGCTCGAGCTTTGGCCAATTGCAATTCAAAAGGAGTCTTGGGCAGGCTTGAAAAGTAATCGTACCACTGATGGCGCAGCTGCTCCACGGCCTGCGAGTCCAGTGACAAACTGGAACGAGTGGAGGCAATGTGCTCCAACTCTAATTTCTTGAAACTACCAAATGCAGACATTCTGTGAAAATCGGATTCTTAAACACTGGAAATTTAACAATAAACTGAAAGGCTTCATATTGATCTTGACTGTGCCTTTGGTTTCTAAACACTATGACTTATTAAAGGCATAAACTCCAGCGAGGATTTTTAAAAGTAACTAAGTAATTAACAATGGTCTCATGAAGCCTTGTACTCAGCCCAGTTTTCATATAGTAGTTTTGTCAGCTTAATTGATTTAATTATAATGCATCCTCTGATGCACAACAATTCTTCCAGCTGTTTTAAAATAGTTTCCAATCGCGAATCCTTAACATCGTACGTGCATTATTTACTTTAAAAAACCTGTGCAATTGAAATATTTGTCGAAATGCTTGTTATATATACATATGTATGTACTGGCGGTTTTCCTAACACTTTATAAAACCCTATCAATGGATATCGAGTGCGATGGCAGAGACTGTATCCCTTATAATGAATGCGTGTGTGCCAAGAAAATTAAAAGGCTTTACTGAATGTGCTTCGGGTTTGATTTGTTGTATGCGTCCTACAATACCCAAGTATGAAATCCCATCGGAAAATATTTACTTATGTATGAGTTGACACAGCCTGCCTGAATTACTCCGACGACAGGTGCTTCTTCCCACCGGAAATACTTATATCACACGGAAATTTGAGCTTTCGAAACGAGCGACAACATATGGCTGTAATTGAAAAAAGGCTAAAGGGTGATCGTTAAAATGTCCTTGACTTTAATTGAAACCGTTTTATAAAGGAGTTTAAAATACCGTTTTAATTACTAAATTCAAATTGCTTCTTCTTCCCCTGGAACACCGTTCACCGCGAGCCGTTACCTTTTTGACAGTGCTCGCGTGTTACCCAACACTACCCCTGTAACAAGTGCAGCCAACTTCACGCCATTGCTGTAAGTGAATATGTTGTAGAGGTGAAAACTTTAATATCTATCGATGTTTAAAAAAATGTTATCAAACATGAGCATTGAGTTTGATTGTAATAAAATCGATGAAAATAAAAAGGGCGGTTATTTAATATACAATAAGCGTTCGTTTAAGGGTGCATATCTAAAATAATTTTTTTAGTTTTCCTAATTAGTACTTGTGCTATGATCAAAATACAATTTTGGGGTAGTAATGGGGTAGTAAGTAACAGAGTGTACAAGAACTGAAGTGAAATCATTAACAGCGCGCAATAACTGCAGTGAGTTTGCGATACCCGTTGGAAATGGAAAAACATCGATTGTGCCCGGCCAAACATCGATATCACCGACATTGATCGATAACATCGATGTTAGCATCGATGTTTCTCCACCTCTAATTTGCAGAGAAAAATATTGAAGATACATATTCTTAAAACAAGTGCTAAACTAAAGCGAATCGCGAACGAACGGCTGCTGAGCGAAAAACGAAAAACGCGAATCCATTGTGTGCGTGAGTGACTGCGGATTGTGATGCGACGCTCGCCCGGGTGATCCGGCTGTGCGCCCAGGTTCCGCTCCACTCCGCTCGTCGTCGCCCGAATACAAATACAAACAACGGGCGGGGAGGCGGAGGCACAGGCACAGGCAAGGGTGCTCCACCGTTCCACGGCGCACAGAATGTTCTCCGGACCCAGCGGTCATGCCCACACCATCAGCTACGGGGGCGGGAACGGGCTGGGTGGCGGAGGAGCAGGCGGGTCCGGGTCTCATAGTGGAGGCGGTGCTACCAACATCGGCGGTGGGGGCGTGGCTGGGCTGCAGGACTGCGATGGCTACGACTTCACCAAATGCGAAAATGCTGCGAGGTGGCGTGGTCTGTTCACGCCCTCTCTAAAAAAGGTGCTGGAGCAAGTGCATCCGCACGTCACCGCCAAGGAGGACGCCCTGCTCTATGTGGAGAAACTCTGCCTCCGGCTGCTGGCCATGCTGTGCGCCAAACCGCTGCCCCACTCCGTCCAGGATGTGGAGGAAAAGGTGAAGTCCTTCCCGTCGCCCATCGATCAGTGTGCCCTCAACGAGGCCAAGGAGGTGATCAATTCGAAGAAACGCAAGTCTGTCCTGCCCACGGAACGGGTGCACACACTGCTCCAGAAGGATGTGCTGCAGTACAAGATCGACAGCTCCGTGTCCGCCTTTCTGGTGGCGGTAATCGAGCACATCTCCGCTGACATCCTCAAGATGGCCGGCGACTATGTGATCAAGATCGCCCACTGCGAGATCACCAAGAAAGACATCGAGCTGGTCATGGACGTCGACCGCGTCCTCATGGACATGCTCAACCAGAGCGAGGCCCACATCCTGCCCAGCCCCTTGTCGCTTCCCGCCCAGCGGGCGAGTGCCACCTATGAGGAGACAGTTAAGGAGCTCATTCACGACGAAAAGCAGTACCAGCGCGACCTGCACATGATCATACGAGTCTTCCGCGAGGAGCTGGTGAAGATCGTGTCGGACCCCAGGGAGCTAGAACCGATATTCTCCAACATAATGGACATCTATGAGGTCACGGTGACTCTGCTTGGCTCTCTCGAGGATGTGATAGAAATGTCCCAGGAGCAGAGTGCCCCTTGTGTGGGCAGTTGCTTTGAGGAACTGGCCGAGGCTGAGGAGTTCGATGTGTATAAGAAGTACGCTCACGATGTCACCTCGCAGGCCTCGCGGGATGCCCTCAGCAATCTTCTGTCCAAGCCAGGAGTAAGTTTAAATCTTTCCATTTAAGAAACTCTGATCTCATCCCTGTATTTCTTTTTTAGGCATCATCACTGACCACCGCTGGCCATGGCTTCCGGGAGGCCGTCAAGTACTATCTGCCCAAGCTGCTCCTGGTGCCCATTTGCCATGCCTTTGTTTACTTCGACTACATTAAGCATCTCAAGGATCTCAGCTCGTCGCAGGACGACATCGAGAGCTTCGAGCAGGTCCAGGGCCTGCTGCATCCACTCCACTGCGATCTCGAGAAGGTTATGGCGGGCCTGTCCAAAGAACGACTGGTCCCCGTCAGCGGACGAGTGCGCCGCCAACTGGCCATCGAGCGCACGCGGGAGCTCCAAATGAAGGTGGAGCACTGGGAGGACAAGGACGTGGGTCAGAACTGCAATGAATTTATTCGCGGTAAGTGCATAGACCACATGTCTTAGAATCGCAAACAGAGAAGCGGAAATAGAGAAACAAAAGTGGAGTTTTTTTTTTTAAGCTGAGAAATACCATTCAAAATTTTGTGTAATCCACCATTAGCATATATTAATTGATAACCGGTTCGTACTGTTGCACTTAAGCATAACTAGTAGTTTGCTTTTGTACCGACAATAAGCACTAAGTTTAAAACAAAAGTAAATCTCTAAATCTGTAGCTATCTGTTTTAATTTGTTAAGATGTTGTTTTAAAACCACGTCATAGAACTTCATAAAGTAATTAGGGGATATAATAAATATCAACAGACAAATGGTATGTTCTTTAGGGTCATTAAATGGAACCGAGTCTTGCTACCTAACTAATGAGTCAATCTAAATTCACAGAGGATTCGCTGAGCAAGCAGGGACCGGGCAAACGAATTTGGAGCGAGCGCAAGGTCTTTCTCTTCGACGGGCTCATGGTGCTGTGCAAGGCGAACACCAAGAAACAGACTCCATCGGCAGGAGCGACGGCCTACGATTACCGGCTCAAGGAGAAGTTCTTCATGCGACGCGTAGATATCATCGATCGGCCGGACAGCGACGACCTGAAGAACAGCTTTGAGCTGGCCCCCAGGATGCAGACGCAGCCGGCAATTGTCCTCACGGCGAAGAATGCACAGCATAAGCACGATTGGATGGCGGACCTGCTTATGGTAAACACCAAGTCGATGCTAGACCGACATTTAGACAGCATATTGCAAGACATCGAGCGAAAGCACCCGTTGCGCATGCCCAGCCCGGAGATTTACAAGTTTGCGGTGCCGGACAGCGGGGACAATATCGTTCTGGAGGAGCGCGAAAGCGCCGGTGTCCCGATGATCAAGGGGGCGACTCTGTGCAAACTGATCGAGCGCCTCACCTATCACATCTATGCCGATCCGACCTTCGTGCGCACCTTCCTCACCACATATCGCTACTTCTGCTCGCCCCAGCAACTGCTGCAGCTGCTGGTGGAGCGCTTTAACATACCGGATCCAAGCTTGGTTTACCAGGACACCGGCGCAACAGGACCGGGAGGAATCGGAGGTGTTGGCGGTGACAAGGAGCATAAGAACACCCACCGGGAGGACTGGAAGCGGTATCGGAAGGAGTACGTGCAACCAGTCCAGTTCCGAGTGCTCAATGTGCTGCGCCATTGGGTCGATCATCATTTCTACGACTTCGAAAAGGATCCCATGCTGCTGGAGAAGCTGCTCAATTTCCTGGAGCATGTGAATGGCAAGTCGATGCGCAAGTGGGTGGACTCCGTGCTTAAAATTGTTCAAAGAAAGGTGAGTAAGCGAAAACTAACTATTTATTTATGTTTAACATGTCACTCCTTCTCAGAACGAACAGGAGAAAAGCATTAAGAAGATTGTATACGCCTATGGCCACGATCCCCCGCCCATTGAGCATCATCTAAGTGTCCCCAATGACGAAATTACGCTCCTCACCCTGCACCCACTGGAACTGGCACGCCAGCTTACCCTGCTGGAGTTCGAGATGTACAAGAATGTAAAGCCATCGGAGCTGGTCGGGTCGCCCTGGACAAAGAAGGACAAAGAGGTGAAGAGTCCGAATTTATTAAAAATCATGAAGCATACCACCAACGTAACCCGCTGGATTGAGAAATCCATCACCGAGGCTGAGAACTACGAGGAGCGCTTAGCGATCATGCAACGTGCCATCGAAGTGATGATGGTGATGCTGGAATTAAACAATTTCAATGGTATCCTCTCGATTGTCGCCGCCATGGGCACAGCATCGGTTTATCGACTGCGGTGGACATTTCACGGTTTGCCAGAAAGGCACAGAAAATTCTTAGACGAATGCCGAGAACTCAGCAACGATCATCTTAAAAAGTATCAGGAACGATTGCGATCTATCAATCCACCTTGTGTGCCATTCTTCGGTCGCTACTTGACTAATATTCTTCACCTGGAAGAAGGCAATCCAGATCTACTGGCCAACACAGAACTAATCAACTTCTCCAAGCGACGGAAAGTGGCCGAGATTATTGGCGAAATTCAACAGTACCAGAACCAGCCATACTGCCTCAACGAGGAGGCCACCATTCGACAGTTCTTTGAGCAATTGGATCCGTTCAACGGACTGTCCGACAAGCAGATGTCCGACTATCTTTACAACGAGAGCATGCGCATTGAGCCAAGGGACTGCAAGACGGTGCCCAAATTCGTAAGTATTTCAATAAAGCAATCACATCATATAAAAAATCATATAAATGGCAATTTACATTTCCCTTTCACTTTCAGCCTCGCAAATGGCCGCACATTTCGCTCAAATCGCCGGGCATTAAGCAGCGTCGTCAGAATCAGACCAACAGCAGCAGCAAGGTGTCGAATAGCACCTCGTCTGCCGCAGCAGCAGCATCGTCGACGGCCACCACAATAGCAACAGCGGCAGCGCCATCCGCGCATCCGCCCAGCACAATAGATCCACCGGTGGGGACCGGCGAACAAAGTCCGCAGCACAATCCGCATGCGTTTTCCGTCTTCGCCCCTGTCATAATACCCGAAAGGAATACGAGCAGCTGGAGTGGTACGCCACAGCACACTCGCATGGATCATAACAACGGAGAAGTTTCGGTGCCGGCGCCACTTCTACCCAGGAAACCGGGCGCCCATGTCTGGGCCAACAACTCGGCATTGGCCAATCCGTCAATGATGGATTCCTTCAGTCCCGCACTGCCGGAACATCTTCCAGCACAGTCCCTTTCGGACAGCAATCCCTTTGCAATGAGCATGTCGGACCCAGATGCACCACCCTCGCCGCTGCCCAAGCTAGTGGTTAGTCCGCACCACGAAACCGGCAATCGGTCACCATTCCACGTGCGGCTGCCGTACAGCCCAACGCATAGTATAGCCAGTACCGTGACCCTTACAGGAATGACTGGAGCGGCTATGACCGGGGAGGAGGTCAGTCCGCAAACGGGTGGCTTCTATTTCAGCACCCATCAGGGACAACCAGGGGCAGTGCCCATATCGCCGCATGTCAACGTCCCGACCGCCTCCAATCTGGAGTACCGAGCCGTTCCGCCTCCACTTCCGCCACGACGCAAGGAGCGCACAGAGAGCTGTGCGGACATGGCGCAAAAGCGACAGGCGCCTGACGCTCCCACAGTAAGTGTTCAAACTTGTAATAAGTTTTTTGAAAGCGATGAGGACTATATAAATATATGGGAATAAAACCTATTAAACATTGAGTATCAATGTATAATGAGAAAGTGAGGTAGCGATGCATACCACCGGCGTGGAATTGTTACTTGAAAGTCAGTGAGGATGTCGTGTGGTGATCTGTGTGCCAGGGTTGGAGCGAGCGAGAAGGTAGTACCGTTGAGGTTCAAGTTATCCTTAACTAGATACATGATTTTATACCACTTCGGAAAGAAGGAAGTAAAAGTATTGGAAGTGGATTAAGTGTTTAGTGGTTCAGTTAATTAGAATCTGTTGATCGTGGCAACATAAAGCCTGTTTCTTCTTGGCTGTGGCCTGTATGTTGAGTATTTTGGTTGTTAGCCCCGTTTACACTGGGATTGAGTATAGAGTTTAAATAGGGGGAATAGAGATGGGAGAAACTTAGTTTAATTTGAGTTTGTCTGAACCTTAGCACAACCATCTTAAATTTATTCGATTTTTGAGCTATAGCTTTCACTATCGTGGCATTATCACCACCTATAACAACAAACAAGAACTGGCAAGATAAGGCGGAAGAACCTAAGATTCAATTTTTTAAATTTCAAGCGAGATTTGTTATTGAGCATTGCACCTTTAAAACGTCCGAAATGTAGGATCCTTATAGTACCCAACTCTTCGTGTCAGGCTCATGGCTGCAGTAGTAGTTTTAGTTTTCTTTACCATACATTTTCCTAAGATTTCTATATTCCATTTATAAATTAAAACGACTTGAAGACTCGAGTTTTGGTTAAGTGTCCCTGAACTATCATCTAGAATTATCAAGTAGTTATCTTAGTAGATATCTTCCATTAGCTCGCCAGATTGGTTGGCGATTGCAAGATCGCCTACATTTTCTTTCCAATGATTTTGATTCCTGTTTCGCAGCAAGTTTATTAAGTTTAAGTTTAAGTTTTTTTATAATTAAGCATTTTTTTATTTTCCTTGCAGTTACCCCCGCGTGATGGCGAACCCAGTCCGCCGCCCATACCGCCACGGCTCCACCATTCCATGGGCATGAGCTACTTGCGACACAGCCACGGCAAGAGCAAGGAGTTTGTGGGCAAGAGCAGTCTGCTCCTGCCCAACACCAGCAGTATTATGATACGCCGCAACTCGGCGATCGAGAAACGGGCAGCGGCAGTTACCCATCTGTCGGAGCCGCCGATGGGGTCCATCGGCACAACGCTTGTGACGGTGTCGCAGGCAGTGGCCACGGACGAACAGCCGCCGTTATCGATCTCGCCCGCTCTGAGCTCCTCGACGACCACATCACCGCTGACACCCGCCACGCCCATGTCCCCCAACATTCCCAGCCATCCGGTGGAGAGCACGTCGAGCAGCTATGCCCACCAACTGCGAATGCGGCAGGGCACACCCAAACTTCCACCAAAACCTAGTCTAAGCGCTAACTTCTATAACAATCCAGGTGAGTAAATTCCCTTTTCCTTTCGAATTTATGTGCTCATCAATTTATTCACGTTCAGATAAAGGTACGATGTTTCTTTACCCAAGTACAAACCAAGAATAATTTAAATTGCCTGGCGATGTGATAGGACAAAAACTACGAGTATGATCCGTAAGATTCAAAGTTGAGAGTACTGCCGGTGTGCAGATATATATGAACGAACGGAATATATACGTAGGCACAGTTATGTATTCTAGTTGGCATACATATGCAAATATGGACCGAGTTGGATCTGATGATTTTATTATTCGAAACTCATTAAACAAAACGAAACACACTCTCATTTACACATGAAGCACAGCATATAAATACACGCGAACGCAAAACACAAATGCAAAAAAAGAAATTATGTTATTATATAATTACTATTATAAATATTTGTAAATATCGAGAACATTGTATTGATCGTAGAACGTAAAACAATAAAATATAACCCTATTGTTAGACAGTTGGCGATGTGTTTAATTTATAATTCAGTAGGCATTAAGAAAATACATCGAAAAGGGAGGTTCTAACTGATGGGTTGTCTCAAATTTTTAATTAAAACTAGATGTTGTAGCCTGCTAATAAATTTAGATTTGCTTGTATTGTCAAGGCTGTTCAAGAGTCCACGATATTTCTTGATTCACTTACAGATTTTGAAAAGTGTTTCATGGTATTCTTTATAGGCCCAGCGACCTTGAACTAACCACAACACCTCTGATTTTGTGCCATTAAGCAGCACGATTTTTCATCCGACTGCAACACCTGGCATACTCACAGCATCCAGCATAATCGTGGCCATCATTAACATATATTGCTAATTAGTTTCGGTAGGAAAGAAAAACTAAAGCGATTGTAGACGCGAGCTAATCGTTGTGTCAATGCATTAAATGCAATTAAATGGGAAACACAAAATACATATGTATTTAAAACCACTTGACTTTCGCTTTTCTAACGTCATGATCGTTGAAAAAATGCTTCCTGAAATTTGGGCTGCTCGCTGGAACAGGTTTTTGTTTTTGAATTATTTTCGTATTTTCTGGCGAATGCGTGTGGCCAGCCCCTTATCACAAGTTATTGGCGAAGTTATGGGTGCATCTGCATCCAATAAATTCCCCCACTTACCGCACACCTCCCAAAATGATGTGTCATGAAAACGAACCGATTTGGATCTTCGGTAAAGTACCGAAGATTTAATTTTCAGATCGGTCCGGTACGTGCTGATGTTGCCAAGGTGAACAAACCATTGCAGACGTCATTATTGCATTTAAGGAATCTCTGAGTTTATAATGGGTCGAAAGCAAATCGGTTGAGCAATCTTTCATACGTCCAATTGTATCCTATGAACACATTTTAATACATTTTAATATATCATTGCAGACATTTGGGAAATTTCCGTTGAATGTGCACTTTTATTTATAGAGAATCGTGAACTCCATACCCTATAGACAAGGCCATTGCCCGAGATCAGTTATGGATCATAAGAGATGTAAAATATAAAGGTAATGTTGATGCCTTTCGCTTTTCTCTAAACTTGACCAACATAAAAAGGTGGCAATTATCGGAAGCTAGACGACCTACACCAACTTATCTCTCATTTTCTCGATATCACGTTTCAGTTGCGCAATTTACACAACAATTGGCCAAAGAATTATTCAATGAATTTGCATTTAATGCATTTGATTGCAGGTAATGAGAGAGAAACCCCACAGAAAATTGATGGAGGAGACCTCTGCGCATAATCATCTCGCGGCAATTACATTGAATGTATTCCTACATAATTGTATTACATGAGCATATCAATTAGCCAGCCAATTACCCGCAATCTCTCGCCCTTCTCTAACATTAATTCGGAGAATTCTGGGATGAGTGGACCAGGGAAATCCCTGCCAAGTGGTCTGCATTATCCAAGGAGGTACGAGGTACTTTCGCCCAGCTCCGACCAGAACCAGAATCCACGAGCCGACCAGCCGAGATCGGAGATCGCTCGGGTCTCGAGCGGCATTGTCTTTATGTAATGTAAGCGGCATTCGGTTTCGGATTCTGAATTGTGGAAGTCGACGAGCTTTTATAAAAGCAGCAACAACGGCGCCCGTTCATTCAGTTCGCCCGCAGATCATTCAGAATCATTGTCAAGTGCAATCTGCGGCAGTAGCAGCAGCAACAGCAGCAACAACAGCAGCAACAGGACCAGGAACAGCAGCAACATATATTGCACACCAGCAATCACAGCAGAGCGTTAGCCAAGACTTTTACAGTATAAACATCAGTCGAGAGCCAACAAAATGCTGGCCAGCGAGAACTTTCCCACACATCACTTCAAGGAATCTATATTTAAGCCTTACAGTACGAGTGGCGATGATTTGGCAAGCCCATTGACAGCGGCAGCATCAGCAGCCGCATTGGTGGCGACCACGTCGTCATCGGCTGATACCGCCTCCGCAGTTGCATTCGAGACGGCCAGCAAAATGTTGACCGCCAATGGGAGCAGTAGTAACAATAACAATATCACGGATCCGAAGGATGACCTGTCCAGCTTTGTGGCCAGCCATCCGGCGGCCCATTTCGAGGGCTTCATTCGGGCCTGCGTCGACGAGATCATCAAGTTGGCCGTCTTCCAGGGCACCAATCGCTCATCCAAGGTCGTCGAGTGGCACGAGCCAGCGGAACTGCGTCAGCTTTTCGACTTCCAGCTGCGGGAGAAGGGCGAGTCGCAGGATAAGCTGCGCGAGCTGCTGAGGGAGACGATCCGGTTCTCGGTCAAGACAGGACATCCTTACTTCATCAACCAGCTGTACTCGGGCGTGGATCCGTATGCCCTGGTGGGCCAGTGGTTGACCGATGCCCTCAATCCCAGCGTGTACACGTACGAAGTGGCTCCACTCTTTACGCTCATGGAGGAGCAGGTGCTGGCCGAGATGCGGCGCATCGTGGGCTTCCCCAACGGCGGCCAGGGCGATGGCATCTTCTGTCCTGGCGGATCGATAGCCAACGGTTATGCAATCAGCTGCGCCCGCTACAGACACTCGCCTGAGTCCAAGGTGAGTGCCCGATCGAAGCCAAGTGGTTTACCGCCAATCCACACGGAAGTCCGCAGTCCACTGTCGACTAAGTGAATGGCGCCAACACTGCTGGCCAATTTATTAGTCATGCCTATAAAAGTAAAAATCTATTATCATTATAATGACACATATCAAAGCTAGCCAAATCAAATTATTTATAATTTTTTTTGTGCATCAAATTGTTGAAAACTGAGGTCTACTAATTGAAGAACAATTTTCGTGAAAGCCACTTTTGAGAGCAATTTTTAAAGCAAGCCAACAAAACAGAAACAAAATTCCTAAAGAATAGTTGTACTCTAACAAAAAGCAACAAGGTTTTTAAAGTGTGGTAAATATTAATACTGTGTTTTTTATGTGAGCTAACAGATGAATTTAATACTTAAAAGCTAATCCAAAACGTTAATTAAACTAACGCACTATTCGATTTTTAGCCATAGAGGTTTCCATCCAAATTATTTCGATCCTTTTTTAAGTATTTACTATAGACTTTGACATAATACATAAAAAATTTAATTGTTTATAATAGCTACATATATATTTTATCTACACATTCAACAATTAAGACCATCCTATTGTTTATTTTATTTCCAGAAAAGTGGACTCTTTAACGCGAAACCCCTGATCATCTTCACTTCGGAAGATGCCCACTACTCGGTGGAGAAGCTGGCCATGTTCATGGGCTTCGGCAGTGAGCATGTGCGCAAGATAGCCACCAACGAGGTGGGAAAGATGCGGCTGAGCGACCTGGAGGATCAGGTGAAGCTGTGCCTGGACAACAACTGGCAGCCCTTGATGGTCTCGGCCACAGCTGGAACCACTGTTCTGGGCGCCTTCGATGATCTGAATGGGATCTCGGAGCTCTGCAAGAAGTACAACATGTGGATGCACGTGGATGCAGCTTGGGGCGGCGGTGCCCTTATGTCCAAGAAGTACCGCCATCTGCTCAGCGGCATCGAACGGTGAGTTACGGACTTAAATGGGTTCTTTGAGAGCGGAACTGAAGGTGGCTTCTTTGGCAGGGCTGATTCGGTGACATGGAATCCACACAAGCTGCTGGCCGCCTCGCAGCAGTGCTCCACCTTCTTGACGCGCCACCAGCAGGTGTTGGCCCAGTGCCACTCCACCAACGCGACCTACCTGTTCCAGAAGGACAAGTTTTATGACACCTCCTTTGACACCGGCGATAAGCACATCCAGTGCGGTCGACGTGCTGATGTCTTCAAGTTCTGGTTCATGTGGAAGGCCAAGGGTACCCAGGGATTGGAGGCCCATGTCGAGAAGGTCTTCCGCATGGCCGAGTTCTTCGCCGCCAAGGTTAGGGAGCGTCCAGGATTCGAGCTGGTTCTCGAGAGCCCCGAGTGCACCAACATCAGCTTCTGGTACGTACCACCTGGTCTGCGGCAAATGGAGCGCAACCGGGAGTTCTACGACAGGCTGCACAAGGTGGCGCCCAAGGTGAAGGAGGGCATGATCAAGAAGGGCTCCATGATGATCACGTATCAGCCGCTGCGACAGCTGCCCAACTTCTTCCGCCTGGTGCTGCAGAACTCCTGTCTGGAGGAGTCGGACATGGTATACTTCCTGGACGAGATCGAGTCGCTGGCCCAAAACTTGTAAAGCCGGCAAGTGTGTGGATATGGAAGCGAAAGCATGTTATGAGGTTAAGTGTTGACAACATTCTCTGTAGGCCTATGCCGTATATATCTTCTAGCGTATCGTTTACTTCTCACGTTTGTATATTCTTTCGGATGTTAAGTATTACCTAAAACAAAAAACAAAAATACATATTTATAGGTCATTTGATTTAGATTAAACTGTGGTCTTTTATTGGGCAATGAAAAACAATTAATAATTTAACAGCAGTAATAAAGTAAAATGTTAACTTTCAGATAAATGCCATGAGGTAGGTACTTAGTTGGCGGAAGTCCGTCATATTCAAATTCAAACATTAAGGTCTAAAGTTAACTCTTATCTCTAATTTATAATCTTTGGGCGTCATTTGTCCTAAATATAATCTCATATTCAATATGCTCAATATTGACAGCCTATTAATTACCATAATTTGTTGAAAAACTTAATTTATTTTAAACTAATTTTAAACTTCAATTCCATTTTTGTTTCTTAAAAAACGTTCAAAAGGAACTATTAACCGCATATATCTTAGTTAAATTCTTAAGTAACAAACAAGTACATAGCAGTAACTACGAAAACTTAAGTTCTCGCAAGCTAATGCTGCTTTATCCAAGCCCACTGACTAACGTCATTGCCGCCAGCTTTCTCGATTGCCTCCGCTACGCTCAGACTCTGACCTGGTTGAATCCCATAGCCTATACGCAGGCCATGCGGATTCGACGGCGTCTTGCAGTCCATCGTGCACTCTTTTCGCAGCACAGTGTCTACCTCGACAGACGAAAAGAAGGCGACCGACATGGGCAGATCCTTGAGTCCAATACGGGAGACGCAGAAGGACCGCGTCATTAGATTCGTGATGTGCATGGCCAGCGCCGCCTTAGGCGAAAGCTCCTCCTTGACCAGGTAGCGCAATTCATCATGGAAGCTCAGACAAAAGCGAACGTGAGGTCCCATTAACCACCGCATGCTGACCAGCATTAGATGCAGGAAGTCCACAGCTCCGCTCTGAACGACCCAGTTAATGCGAGTGGGCAGGAAACGTTGCTCCTGATCGGGACCTCCTTCCGCCTCCAGTGCTCGGCTAAGGCGTCCACCAAGGAACGGTGTCTGCGGCTGTGACCTCGTGGCAATCTCCTCCAGACGATTGAACATGGCGCTCTCAGTGCCACCCTGCCAGTTGGGACGATGAAATACTTCGGTCAAAACTCGATTGCGTTGCACAGCAAGTCGGGAAGCCTCGTAGCTGCTATAACTAAAAACATAAAAATAAGATAACATTTTAGATTTGTCTTTTTTGAAATAGCCTCATTATAGTTAAAAAGGACTACTTACGGCCTATCCTCCAGTTCGTCGTGGAATTCTTCGCGCAGCCGATACACTCGCTTGCCCTTGGTAATGGAAAACATTTTCATGGCCTTGGCTTTCGCTTCGGATGCACTAAATGTCGGATTGAACTGACGCAGCAGTGTCTCGGCAAACAGCTGTCCAGCTCCGTAGATTCTGGCGTAGTTTATCACTTTGGCGTGATCTCGGGAAATGCCCACCGCCTTTGCGGTGATGGAGTGCATGTCGCTGCCATTCGACTTACTACCGCTGAGAGTCATCCAACCGAGGGGTGTGGCGCCATGCTCCCCACAGGCGTAGGCATCGCCCAGCACGGAAGCGATCCACAGTTCCTGCGAGTCGACATCGGCACCCACTAGCCTGTAACCGGGGGGAGCCTGTACCATAGAGCGCAGCTCCGATCCTAGGCGATCAGGCCGCGAATTCGAGGCCGTCATCCATGTGGGCTCCATGGCACGGCGAGTCAATGTGCCACAGGCTACAACTTGGGGACAAATGGCTCCGTAGGATATGTGGTGGAAATTTTCGCCATTAAGTTCCTTAGGCAATTGCTGGGAATTCAGCCAAACAACCATCTGACCCATAATTCGATCCCGATTGTTTCGCCAATATGACATCATGCGAGCAATGTCGATGACGCGGGCGGCAGCTTGACAAGATGGATCTCCACTGCTCAGCACGTTATCTGAGAACTTGTTGAGAAAGTCCTTGGACAGAGGGTTTCCCACGCGAAATGAGGGTCCATTTTTATGGGGCAACTTGAGGAAGAAGCAAGAATCCTCCAGCACTTTGTTGCTCCAGACACCAGAGCCTAAAAAAGAAATGAATGAGTAAACTTTCAGTTATTTAATGTCAATCTCACCTTGATACTGAGTTTCCAAGCGTTGCTGCTTCTGAGACAACTTCTTGTAGTGTTCTCGCTTTCCCATGTGTTGCTCCAGTTCACTCGGTAGCATATCTAAGGCCAGATCACTCTCCGCCTTCGAGGCGCACTGCCGAGCAAACTCAGGTACTGGACAACGCACCAAAAGTTGGTCCATGGGCAGTCGGTCTACTCCTTCCGAATCGCTGCGAAAAGGGACCAGGAAACCCCAGCCTTGCTCTCTCTCGTAATGTAGGGGATATCCTTCCCAGCAGAGGGAAAGCAGTTTGGGCGCAATCTGCATGCCAGTGCTAATCTCGCTGGCTCCTGGCGACCAAGATTCCTCCTCGTCTTCCAGAATATCGTCATCCCGTTTTGATCTACTTGGTGGCTTTCGGCATAGTTTGCGATACCACAGGGGATATCCGGGTAATAAGGGTCTCCGAACTGGGAGCAGTGACCGTTGATCGTAGAGGTGCTGGAATTTGGCTTGCAGGCGACGCTGCTCGGCGGTATCCCCATGATCCTGGCGCTCTTCCCTGGGCAATGGTTTGCGCTTTGGGGGCTGTTTTAGCTTCAGTTCCTGCACACTCCAGTCTTCATCCCAGAGCCAGAGATTTTGGCGATACTGATCGTCGAGCAGCAATGAGCAAGCTTCCTCAGCCCTGCGTCCCAAATGGTACTTGGCCTCGATACTGAGATCCTCGTAGGTGAGCTGTGCCTCTCGTATATAACGTTCCCAATTGGAATTCACGGGCAAATAGGCGGAGCCCATTTCCAACATGCCAGCCAGCGAAGCAGGGTGCGGAAAGCGCTCGGCATACATGGGATATAGGACTCGGAGCACCCGATGGGTGGCCTCCACATCGCCGGCGCAGTAGTTCGTCAACGACTGAAAGCTCTGGCGGACTTGCTCCAGGGTGCCCTCAACGAAAATGTTTCTTGGCTCCTTTGATAGTGGCTCGCCGCCGCAGTAGAGTCGATGCACCTCTACCAAACTATTGAGGGAGCTCTGCTCCAGCCAACCAAGATCCTCGGGAGCTGGCTCCTTCTTGGACTTGAGCATGGCTCGCTGGTAACTGGTCACTCCACTGACGCACATGTGCAACGACATGGTATCCACGAACCGAGTGCCCGTGTCCTCGATTAAATACTGCTCCTTCAGTCGTGCCCTGTCGTAGCAGACATTGTGTCCCACCACCAGACCAGGTCCACTTGTTCCAAGAGGTATGAGTTCATCGGGAGAGTAGTGAGGTCGCTCTGTGTCCGTGTCCACGTCCAGGGGCTCCGTTTTGGGCAGACTCACACGATGTTTGGTGAGTCTGGGACTCACCCAAGAGTACCATCTTTTATTGCTGACAGCGGTGGCCAGAACAGGAGCCTGTCCTTCGTTGACGCACACCTCCACATCGAAGATAAGTCCTTTTTCCAGTGGCTGATCCACCGGAGTGGCTGTTCCATTGTCAGGATCATAAGCGGTCCAGCCGGCAAAGAAGGCCCAACGCTTAGGACGTTTTGGAAGTTCCTCGCACTGAACCAGGGGAAGCAACAGATCCTCGTACGACTGCACCTGTTCCTTAGCTATATTGTAAAAGTGCTCCTCGATATTGGCGCCCCTTAACGGAGGTAGTTTCAGCTGGACATCCGGAACAGGAGCACAGCTTTCGATGTCGACGCCGTGCCTGCGCAACTCATCCTGGTAATCCTTGGCGGAGGCGACCTGCTCCTCCGAAATGCTGCGAGGGGCTTGGGGAAACAGCTGCGCGTGCAGATTTCGCGAGATCATCTGCACCTTCACGAGATTCTCCGCGTATTCAGATTGTCCCTCCACATTATTCTCCGGCTTTTTTGGTTTGTTTACCTTTGGTGGCGGCCTCACCCGGCGGTAGATCTTCAGGCTGCTGCTGGCATAGCGCTCAGGGGTGACCTTGCTGGCGTAGTTTCTAATCAAATGGAGTTGCATTTCGAGTTAACTGAAGTAAACATCCTTTAAAGCGACTCCAAAACAACTGGCGGCCACCCTCTCATCCGTTATACTGCCGGCAAGTGAGGTATTTTCATGCGCTTGCGCGGCGGTCACATTAAAACAATTTTGAGTTTCCGTTAAAAACGTAGTTTTAAAGTTTTGCAAAACTTTAAATTAATAGTTATTTAAAAAACAACGTACAACTTCACATTTTCAAAAATGTTATTTCGGACATCATTCTCTGTAGGTATATTAAAAACAATACCCTGTATCTGACCCCAGTCGATCCTTTTAAGATAAAGGATATACGAGTATAGGTAAAATTAAAAAAAATAAAACAGATAGAACATCGAAATTAAGCTAATTAGTTTCTATAACATCTGTGGAACACCCGCCATTGATAATAGATCAATTTAAAATTCAATTATTCAAAAGCTAAACCTATTAACAGGATTTAGTCCGACCACCATATTTTCCCCATTGTACGACCATTAAAAAACAGATCCCAATTTGATTTTGCGAATAAAAAACATTTTATTCAGTTTGCTATAAAGGTGAAACACTTTAAAACACACACACAGACTTTCGGAACCATTATGGAAGTGGGGGAAAAGAACAATCTCTTCGGTTAATTTATGTAAAAAAGCTTTCGCACGGTACAGAACAATGGGAAAAGCGATTTTGGAAAACATTTTGGCAAATACTGCGCTCCTGGCCAGGCCAACACACTCGCTAACAGACAATAACACGTAACGCTGGACCGTTCTGGGCCGAACTAGATCTGCATGTTGCGCATGCCTCCGTTGATGCCGCCCTGCTCCACGTTCCAGATGACCAGCTGCCCGTCGACGCCCGAAGTGGACACCTTGCTGGCGCTCGCCTTGTCGCCGGCGTACAATCGCACGCTAGTGATGGCGTTCTGGTGGATGGAGTCGACCACCGTGTCCGTGTTCTCCGTGCGCATGTTACGGTCCATGGACTGGAAGATCCTCATGGCGGAAATGCCGCTCGATTCCTTCTTCTGCGACTTGTCCAGCTTGCCGCTCAGCACCAGCTTGCCGTCCGCAGTCAGGCTGTACAGCAGTGGCACACAGCTGTATCCGGCCACCACGACTGACGTGGGCGAGACCCACTCGCAGGACAGGAACGGCAGATAGCCAGTGCGGCAGCGGATCACCGCGTTGCCATTGGTGGCGTCTGCGATGCTCACACAGCTGTCGTGGCCCACCCAGCAGACCTTGTTGCCGTCACTGGAGAAGCTCACGCTATTGATCCACCCGCCGCCGGAGGTCTGCGAGTTCCGGAACTCAGCCATTAGATTGCCGAGGGGCTTGCGGTTGCCCCACGGCGTTGGCGTGGGCGGCTCCTCAATGTCCTTAATGAAGGCCGAGAAAACTCGCACCTTGTAGTCCGTCGAGCCGGCCAAAAGCAGGACGTTGTTTGGATGCCAGTCCAGCGAGGTGACCGTCGAGCGGATCGGCTTCTTGATGTGCTTGGACACCCACCAGTCGTTCTCCGACTCGAAGTAGCACACGGAAATGAGCCGGGCACCCGATCCCACGGCGAACTTGTTCTCCGCCGGCGACCATTTGACGCAGGTGGCTGCTCGGTTGATGCGGAGCAGCACCAGCGTTGGTTTCCACTTGCCGTCCTCGCCCTGCGTCCAAACGTAGGCATTCCGGTCGGCGGCACAGCTCACAATCCTGTTGGTGTTCTTCGCCCAGTCGATGCCCATGACACGCAGATCGTGCTGGTTAAGCACGTCCGCCAACTTCCAATCGCTCCCCTCCCGGCTGTATATGTGGATCTCATGGTTGTTGGGCGATAAGGCAATCTCTGCGGGTGGGAAGTGGGTGAGTCACGGTTCCGGATGAGTAATGTGGGGCACTTACGGGTTCGGTCCTTGTTCCACGCATGGCAGGTGATGGAGGCCAGCGAGGTGCCAAAGGTGAATGTTTCGGCCATCGTGGGTGGCTAAATGCGCTCGGAATGCAGTGTTCGTCCAACCACACACGTAGTTTCGGAGTTTCTTCGGTTCGATTCGCCGGATTTTGCTGTGACCAAGTGGGCGTTGTTTCCGCTGGCTGTGCTTCGCTCCGGTTTTAATCGCGGACTCTGGGCCGTCTACACGATTAAGCTGGCGTTGCTGGGAAGGATTAACGGTTTCCCTGGACAAAAAGAGCAGAGCGTTGTGGATAAAAACACTTTGGAAAAGTAAAAAATTAATCACCCGAAGTGTGACCGCGCTGCGTTAGTTTATAAAATTGGCTCAGTCACAGGAAATATACCAAAATAATCTTGGTAAAAATACCGAACTATCAGAGGTGCCAAACAAAGCAAATAGAACTGCATTCAGCGGGACGGAATTAAAAATAAGCGGTTTCTTACCATTGTTTTATTTTTAATTATTTCCTTATTTAAATGTTAACATTTTTACTTAATTTTCGATAACATTAATTATTAACGATTAATTCAATACATGACGGTACAAACATCTCTTCAAATATGCAACATATTTGGAAAAGATTTGTAAAAAATTACAACTTACAAAAAAGGGCTAATTTGTCATCACTGCATCGTATCGACCTGTGAAAGAATACTAGAAGTATATAAATTGTAAAAAATATACCAAGCTACCAGGGCTGCCAAAAAAGGCTGATTGACTGATAGTTTGGCGCCCTTTCCTACGAAACTAGTAGCACCGCTTGTAAACAAACAAATTGGACATGGAATCTATTGGCTCCTCCTTGGAGACGCAGTTTCCCTGTCGTGAGGCGGCCATTGGCATCCTGAACGAGCTGATAGGAGACTCCAAGGAAGCCTATCCCGCGGCTATTTACCTATTTGGACACAGTGGAACCGGCAAAACCGCACTGACCAGAGCTTTTCTCAAAAAATGCGCAAAAAATCAGAATGTCCGGGTGGCCCATTTGAATGCCATCGAGTGCTACACCACCAAGATCATGCTGGAGATCCTGCTTGATTCGTTAGCACCGGAACAAAAGGATTCCCTGAAGGTGGACAATATGTTGGACTTCGTAGAGCAATTGCGTAGATGGCACGGGGCATCAGGTACCGAGTCCCAGGGCTTTCTCATCGCCGTGGACAATGCCGAACGCCTGCGGGACATGGATGCCAATGTGCTGCCCGTACTTCTTCGACTGCAACAACTCACCAGCTTGAATTTGTGCGTCATCCTACTGTCTCAGCTTCCCTTCGAGAAATTCTACAACAAGACCGGCCTTAGCGAAGTCATCAGCCTTCATTTGGCCCAGTACAATAAGGCGGAAACGCAACGCATCCTGGGATCGGATTTCGCGCATGTGCGCAATCAACTTCTGGAACAGTTTGCCGATGATAATAAGCGCCTGGAGATTTGCAAGGAAGCTGTGACCGAGGAATTCTACAATAACTACCTGAATCTCTTCTTGAGCGTGTTCTACAAGGCCTGTCGGGATGTTCCCGAGCTCCAGTTGACAGCCAAAAAGTGTCTGTCCATCTATCTAGAGCCTGTATTGGATGGCACTCTGGATGCCACGGATATCTCCCGACTGTGGCGACATATAGCTGGTCCTCTGCGCTCCGCCCTCACCCAGATCTATATGCGGATAGAAAAACCGCCGGAGGAGACAGAAGATTTCGCTTCCATAGAGGATCAGAGTGTTCGCAAGCTGGCCCAGTCACTGGAACTTCCTTACTATGCCAAATTCCTGCTGATTGCCGCCTTTCTGGCCAGCCACAATGCCGCCAATCAAGACAAGCGTTTATTCGTCAAGCACCATGGCAAACAGCGCAAGCGGATGCAGACAGTCAACGCCAAAGCCAAGGTGGGTTTCTTAATCTAACAACAATCTAATCAAATATTTTTCAATACCTTCTACATCCCCAAACTTAAGAAGTTTGGACCGACTCGGATTATCACACAAATAATTTTTCCATCTTGTTTTCTAACGAAAAAAAACCCTTTTAGACCTCGGACAAAATGTCCACCACGCTGGGTCCCAAATCCTTTAGTATAGATCGTTTGCTGGCCATTTTCTACGCCATTCTCGAGGAAAAAGTGGGCCTGACCTGTAATCTCCTCTCCCAGATCTCAACGCTGGTGCATCTCAAGTTACTCAGCTTCGTTTCCGGCGAGCAGAATATCATGGACGGATCTGCTCGGCTGCAGTGCACCATTGGTCTGGAGTTTGTGCTGCAGATCGGAAAGGTAGTGGGCTTCAATGTCCGCCAGTATCTTTGCGACTTCATGTAGCCGGTTTGTTTTCAGTTTTTAAATATATTCAATAAATAGTCCGGTACATCGCTTATGTGTATGGTTTCCGCCAGTCTGGTGTCCCGGCTGCGCAACTGCATCAGTCCGTTCTTCAGCGTCTGATCGTTTAGGACTAGTGTATAAGGTACGCCCAGCATATCCGAATCCAGCAATTGCTCTGTTAGCTGTGAATCATCCTTGGTTGAAGCAAATCCTGTGCCTTGGCAGAGTCGCAAACCTGCGTGGTTAATGACATGCTTGAGGTGAAGGCAAAGGTCGGCCAGGTCTTCCGAGAGCTCGGGTTCGCTTTCTAAACAGGTGATTCCACATTGATAAGGAGCCAGGTTACGGTGCAGCAGCAGAGATTGCGCATCTCGGCCATGATCACAGCCGTCCAAGAGCAGAGCTAAGGAAATGATGTTAAAGGGATTATATTATATTTACATTATTCTACATTTAAAGGGATTATTTTAAGACATCTTACCACACGTGGCCGCTTCCAGCTCAATCACAGATCGTATTACAGTCGGTTGCATAGAATCACCCGTTCGCGCATCAGGCAGTCGAAAGTCTTTGTCATCTTCAATCCGAACCAGACTCAGTTCTTCTACTGTAACTTCTCCCGCATCGCCGTAGCTTGATCGGATGTCGATGGCTTGATAGTTTTTGGGACTAAGATCGTCCCCCAAATCGCATGGGACGATTCGGTATCGACTGGGATTGGACGAAAGCCGCATCCACCAGATCTTGCTCTCGCGCTGCATGTTGTAGAAGTGCTCTAGGGCGCGATGTGGTTCCACCAGGAAGTCTGTGGTTAAAAGCGTGACAGGAGACTTTGTCACGAAGAGAGGATTGCTTCTAGCGGGGGAAAAAGTGCTCTGGTGCTTGAGAAGAGTGGGGCATTTGGCTTTGCGGGGATGTTCTTCAAGAAGCTTTGTAAAATTGGCTTGGAATTGCTGGCTTAGGGTGAAAGAAAAACGCTGCAGATCGGATGGTGAACTGGATTCGCTGGTGTCTCCCAGATGAGCAGCCAGAGGACGCAGACGAAGCCAGTGCTGTTGCAGCAGCTTAGCATATTCCCTTCCGTGGCCGAGTAGTTCCAATTTGTTGTCGTCCTGGGTGCGAAAGAAACCAGCGGAAGCCAGGGACTTGAAGCATCGCTGTATCCGGCTCATTGCTCCAGCGGGATGTTGCCTGGCGGCGAGACGAAGTAGTCCTCGTCCGTCACTTTGGCGTTCCGAAGCACCTCCGCCCGGCAATCGCCCTCAGTCACCTGGTCGTTGCGTAACTGGAGCTGCTGATGCTCCAGCACCGTGTACAGTGGACGCACGTTCTCCGTGTCGATGTGGGCTATCTTGTCCGCGAACTGGATGCTGCTTTTCAGAGTTTCCAGAGCTCGTTCGCTGTCCAGATCCACGAGGGACAGGCGCTCCAGCAATTGAATGGTCTTTGTGTCGATCTCGATTTCCGTGGAACTGGTGTCGGGAAACTCCGTGTCCACCGGCTTCTGTGGCACCTTGGTGGGATGCGTCAGCTGTTTAAAGTCTAATTTGGTGGATTTTTCATTCGCTTTGGTTGCAATTTTGCAATATAAACGTTTACTCAACAGGCGCAACATTCTCACAGGCGAACATTAGTGATGGCACTAGAGCTTGTAGAGAGTAGTTAAATCTCATTTAAACTAGATGGAAATGAATTGGTCTTTCAGTTTCCGGCTTTGTAATACTCAAGCAATATTATAATGCAATAAAAACAATCAATAGCGATTACATATTTATTTTAGGTTCTTCCAAACTTTTGAATATGAAATTATTACCAATTAAGCTGAATTATACAAATCTAGCTAGATAAGCGGTTTTGCCAACATTAGCCAATGGGAGATATCGAAATCGACAAACTTATCGCCGGCTCTTATCGCTTCACTGCCATCACTGTCTCACCGCTTTTTTTATTCAGAGTTCTTGCTTTCCCTTTGGTTATCTTAATTAAATAAAAACAAGGCCGCAATGCCTTACGCCAACCAGCCGTCCGTGCAAATAACTGAGTTGACCGATGACAATGTGAAGTTCGTCCTGGAGGACACTGAACTGAGTGTGGCCAACAGCCTGAGACGCGTGTTCATTGCGGAGACGCCGACGCTGGCTATAGACTGGGTGCAATTGGAGGCCAACTCCACGGTGCTGTCGGACGAGTTCTTGGCGCACCGCATCGGCCTGATCCCGCTGATTTCCGATGACGTGGTCGAGCGCTTGCAGTACACCCGCGACTGCATCTGCCTGGACTTCTGCCCCGAGTGCAGCGTGGAGTTCACGCTGGACGTGAAGTGCAGCGAGGAGCAGACGCGTCACGTGACCACCGCCGATCTGAAGTCGAGCAATGCCAAGGTCTTGCCGGTTACGTCGCGCAATCAGGGCGAGGAGGACAACGAATACGGCGAGAGTAACGATGAGATCCTGATCATCAAGCTGCGTAAGGGCCAGGAGTTGAAGTTGCGCGCCTATGCCAAGAAGGGCTTCGGCAAGGAGCACGCCAAGTGGAATCCCACGGCGGGCGTGTGTTTTGAGTACGACCCGGACAACTCCATGCGTCACACTTTGTACCCTAAACCAGATGAGTGGCCCAAGAGCGAGCACACCGAGCTGGAGGACGATCAGTACGAGGCGCCCTACAACTGGGAGGCCAAGCCAAACAAGTTTTTCTTCAACGTAGAATCCTCCGGCGCCCTCAAGCCCGAAAATATAGTGATCATGGGAGTGCAAGTTCTGAAGAACAAGCTGTCCAACCTGCAGACGCAGCTCAGCCACGAATCCCAGAACGATGCCTTGGCCGTTTGATGTATAACAATTTTATTTTAAGTTTATAAAAGATATTCCGCCTAATCCTTGAACAAACTGTCTATGTTAATGCCCACGCTCGTGTCCTTTTTCGCTTTGGGAGGAGCTGGAGAAGAGGAATTGGTCTGTTGGCTTCCCACTGCCTCCTTGAAGTCACTCAGTAGCTGGATTTTGGATTCCGTGTCCAGTTCGGGCAGGGATTCCTCTGGAGAGGCCTGCAGGCGGGATTGCTGGCGCTGCTCGGCCAGAAGATCCAAAGCTGTCTCGTATATCCTCTGCTCATCCAGTGCTCCCTGGGCCTTTAAATCCTGGTAGATCTGTACAAACTGCTGCGATTGAGTGCTGCGCCTGTTATCAAATAGGGATATTGTTTCCTGGGGCTTATTCTGCTTGTGGAGCTTCCTATTAAAAAATACATTTAAGTAATGATTGCTCTTTTTGGCGATAAATAATTGACATACGCTCGCACCACATCCTCGGCATAGAATATCTTGCGCACTGGGATCTCGGGGGCGGGTCTGTCGAATCGGGGCTCCAGCTTTGGGGGAAAAGCGGCGTAAACATCATACCAAATGGGTTTGTCCTCCGTTTTCATAGCTCCACCACGAAGCAGTCCCTGAACTCTGAAATAGCTCATGTTTTAAGCAAAGTAAAGATACTCCGTAGGTAAACACTCACCTCGTGAAGATGGTGCCGATCTTTTCCAGCCTACTTTGAGCCATTTTAACTAAGTTTTAATTGATTTAATACGAATTTTAACAAATTACGATTACGACATGCGTTGTGGGAGCAAATCGATTACTAGCCGGTGGACAATCGATAACAACAGAGCTGCCGGTGGAGAAATAACGGATTTTTTTAAATGAATGTTCTTACATTACTAATTTAAAATGGGTTTAATTTAACTAATTTGATAAATTTTCAAGCGATTTTAATAGATTTCTTTTTTAATAGATGTTTTATTAAACCGAGCTGCCATATTGGTGGAAAAGGTTGTTTGTTTACCTCTTGCAGGTCCTCTGTTGCTCGCTCAATTCCAATTGGAAATATGTGGCAGCATGACTATGGACGACTTTTTCCCACTACCGCAGTACGGTCATACTCGACGCAGATTCCAGCAGAGGAGAAAAAAATGCTCGACTTAAATTGTCGCACTTTTCTGATGGTTTCGTAGTAAATTTTCGCTTTTTCGCTGTCAAATCAAAGCGCTTTAATCGGAAAACGACAAAAAAAACAAAACAACTAATTAAAAACCAATTTAATATAATTGATGAAAAATGCTATTTCGCAGTGTACTGTAATATCGTAAAACGAAGTGTTTTGATTTTGATTGTTTGTGCAGGTGCAAAATCGATCTAGTGAACTGAAAACTGCGACTCCAAATCGGCCGAGTTAGCGCATTATTGCCCCGATTGTTGTTATTGGAAAATGTTGTTCGTTTGGGAAAATTGTGCCATCGCTTTTTCGTAGTGTGTGCGTGTCGAGTGTGTGTGTGCCAGTAATTTAAGTTAATTAAAAACTTAGCTAACTCTCGGTTTTTGCCGCCCCCGCCATGAGTAACTACCATCCGCATTCGCATCCGCACGCGCTCTCGCATCCGCATCCGCAGCAGGTCCAAAATCAGCTGCAGAATCCTCTCCAGAACCAGTTGCCGCCCCCGCAGCGCCATAACCATGCCACGCCCACCTCGGCAGCCTCCGGAGCATCATCATCATCGTTATCATCATCCATCCTGGTGGCCCATCCTCCCCAGCCTCTGATCAGCAATTCACTGGCCATACGCCAGGAGATTCAGCGATTCGAGAGCGTCCACCCATCCATCTATGCCATATACGATCTGATCGATCTACTGCCCCTGGCGGATGCCCAGATAGCCCAGTCCATTCGGGATCATGTGGTGTGCATTGAAGGTGAGTCTTTACAAATGTTGAACTAGTTTTAATCACTATGTATAGTAGAAATGGATTAATGTAACTAAAAGCTTTCTATAAATCGAACTTGATTTGTGTATTTGGAGCTCTTAATTGCCGAAATACTTTTGTGGCAAAAGTCCTACTGTTTCTATGACTACGGAGTAATCTCTACCAAACCACATTTTCTTGAAATCAGAAATTCATGTTTGTCCACCTGTTAATATGTTTTGCATAAAATCTAGAGACCTTCTTACACATCATATCTTTTATCATAAATCTAACAGCTGTATTTAAAATGATAAAAACCAGTAAAAAAAACTTTAATTGTATTTTTATAAATTGAAATATAACTCTATTTGGTCTTTACCGTTAGATTTTAAAGCATGTTTAAAGAATTTGTTTATTTTTCGATATTATTATTTCAAACACAGCTGCACAAGTGTTACCTCTTAATACCCAATATTAAAAGCAATTCTGCCTGGTAAAACAATCATGTTATGAATACTTCAAGTTGCAATAAATTCAAATGAATATAAAATGTTTGTTTCTTTTCTTTTTTATTGGCTTAAAAGAGTATTTGCCCTCACAAGGAAATGCTTGTCATGTGAAGTCTTTGTTTCTGCCATTTAAAACGGTTTGTTTTTTGGAGCTTTGGACGTGTAGTATTAAATTTAATAGAAAGAAAAGTCACGGCCAAAATTTGTTATACAGGTTTTCAGTCAGGAAATCGTACCTAACATGACTTTGGGAGGAGTGTCTGAACTCAATGAATGTCATGTCGGCAAGAACGGATGGAAATGGAAATCCTTTGATTAAACATGTTTATCGCTGCAATTGTATCCACACCTTCATTGTTGTTTGTTATCTTCAGCGTCTGGACTTGTGGTTGCCTTTGTTTGCAGTGCTTTATGCTAATCTCTGACCGAAAATCTATGAGGCAACATCAACCCCCGTGCGAGGATTATTGTTGCCAAAATGTCCATTCAAGCGGACCGGGGCCATTGAAAGTGTCGTTGTTGTTCCCTTGCTCAAAAGAAAGAGCTTCGCTTTTTGTTTAAAACAAGCTTTTCTGCCCAATTTTCAGCGTGTGGTGTGTGTGTGTGTATATGCGGGGCCTGAAATTTGATGCCCTCTTCCTCGGTGTGGCAGCCACCAAAACTGAAACCGTTCACGAAATCAAACCGAAAACCGGTTCTAAAATGGTTTATTAGAAAATCTCTTGTCGAGCAGCAGAGGCAGCAACAACAAAAGACTCACCAAAAATGTAAACAAAATTGTCAGAGGCCTCTGCCTTCTCGAACACGAAAAACTCCGCTCCGTGCAAACCAGATATGAAACCCGAGAATACGATCTCGTAAACCGTTTTGCACGCGACTTTCTTATTGGCATTGACCCGCAACGCGAGCACGATCGGTCGGATATATGTATAACTATACCGAAAAATACCGATTCTAATTTCTGTCAGCGTGATGAATGATGTTTTCGTTGGACTCCTATTGCCGTTTTCCCGTTCCAAATGCTTATTTATAGGTTTCGGTAACGGTGCCCCATTAAATTGAGAAGGTCAAAAGTATCTTGCTTCGAGATGAACATAGATAAATAAAAGAAATTGAACTAAGTTTCTTAACCCATTTTGTTTGGTGTCGCTTAAATCGAATATCTTAGAGCAGCTTACCATTAACAAATAAAAGCATATCTACAATCAACGTAATCTGAAAACTTGTTATCGTTTTTGGTCAAGAGAACCAAACTTAAGGTTCCATTAATATATTTTATCCATGACTCATTTATATCATTTCGAATTTTAAACCACATTAAAATGCTTGATAGGTCATTGAACTTTTTGCAAAGCTTTTAATAAAGGGATTACTGGATTTTATTACGATTTTTATTATTTTAATTTACAAATGAGATACTTATGGGCTAATAATAAGAATGTATTTTAGAGAGTTTACAGATAGTTTTGTTTATGTTTGTAAATAAGAGGGTTAAGGTCTACTTATTTTTAGACAAATTTCAGCAACAATAGCTGCTCGAATGTGTAATCTATCGACTATTGTGTGTGGCTACATGTGCCATCTAAAATTAGCATATGAAGCTATTAAATTGGATTTATAAACAATAGACAGATTGTGCATTAAGATTCGTTTCCACTCTTCATTTGTCTTTGACAGAACATAAATAGTAAATCGATTAAACGATATCAGCATATCAATGTCTATATTTCCACAAATTGATAATTGTATTGCGGGGTGTTCAATGGGCGCTGGACATAAATAACCTACCTGGAATGCGCGTTCGTTTGTTCGCGGTGTTTATACAAACTCAGAGGCGTGTTGTCTGTTTGTTTGTAAATAGCCAAGTAATAGTCGGCCCTAGATACAACAACAACAGTCAACTGAAATGCCGCTGGCGGTGAAAAACAAATTTCCTCTCTTATCTCAAATAGCTTGCGACTATGGGCCTCCCCATTAAAGCGATTGCAATTAGCCCCAAACGAATTTTTTGTTGGTCTACCCTTTTATTAAGTGGGTACATTTATTTCTTCATCTTTGTATATATTTTTTTGCTATTCTAAAATAATTGCACAATAAATGTTGGAAAGCTTTTGGGAATTTGTACCTCTAACGACCCAGTTCTCATCATCTTCTGATTTTACCTATTTCTCATCTAATTCAGATTTAATTGCTTTTTGGCCGAAGAGCATTGTTTGTCTTGTACATAGTTTATCACTCCCGTTGTGTACCTTTTTATAATTCTATTTTATTTGTGGCTATAAGCTCAATTATCATCACAAAGCAATTAAATGAGTTGCTTTTGTCAATAAGCTTTTTCATTATTATTGTTGTAAGATACCTAAAGATATCATTGTTTTTTATTCCATATAAGGTTTCTTATCTTATTATGAATAATTATCTGCTACTGCTAAGAGTACAGACAGGTTCATTAAAACTTTGGTATCTGCCCACCTATTTTAAATTGAACAATCTCATCTCTCTTGCGACCTCTTATCTGTCGGCGGTTTAGCTTGCTGTCTTTATTGCCGCGTCGCTTTGGGCAACGTTTGTTTATTTACTTTTAATTGTAAAATAATATTGACAAGCGAACTTTTGAGGGAATTGTTTGCCACTGTCATTGGCATATCTCTTTATAATTTTTTTTTTCGATTTTCGAACTGCTGTTTGATATGTCTTTTTTGTCTGTGTCATTCGGAAGTGGAAATTGTTGCTGTGCGTCGATACGCTCGAGAGCGTGACATGGAGATGCCATTGGGGCCACAAATACATGTATTAACCCACACAAACATGCTACTGACAGCACTGAAAAAAATTTCGATTAGGATCTTATTTCAAGTATAAAGATTTACACTTTATGTCATTTCACTTTTCAATTGAAAAGATAAGAGTTCTTCTGTGATACCAAATCTCAACTGAGTATTATATAAAATATTTTGGTGAGGAATTATCCAAGGCTTAGTACCGTAATTATCTTTAAACTTAAAAAAATCAACATCAAATAGTTTACATTTTCACTTTCTAAGCTCAAGTCCGAAGATTTTTTCAGTGTACAAAGCAGATTTTCAAATATCAGCGACACATGTGCAACCGGCAGAGTTGAAGGCATGCGTGTCCGCCGTCTGCCCCCTCCACATTGCCACCCCCCCCTTTGCTCGTCACCCTTTACCCAATACCCGTTTATTTTTAAAGCAAATTGCATTAAAAATATCTTGCACTTTGCTTGCATTTGCTATTTCAATTCCAATTGCACAATACCTTGTTGTTGCTGTTATTTCGCTAAATTATTTTCGTTCTTGATTGACAGCAAAAAGTTAAACAAAAGAAATGCCAAATCGGAAGAGAGTTTTTGCCTTTTTGCAATTAAGTCATAATACCGCCCGATTTGGTTGTCGTTTCGAATGATTCACGATTTCGTGATGGGTGTATAGGAATTTATCATTTCGTTTGACTGCAGGCGTCTCCCTTGTAATACAGTGGGTTTCAAAACAATAAAGCACTTAAAATATATTGAAAGGTTTTAGCTATGTAAATTAAGACTTCAAACGAATTTTCTCATTATCATTCCTTCCTCGAAACGACCTACAGTCTTGATTCACACCTTAAATTTACCTAAAGTAATCTTTGATTATTGAATGCGCAAAACCGTTAAAATGTGATATTTCCGCTATAGGAAATTTTGAAATCAAAGTGTGTCAAGTAAGGTTGGTGTGGGTTTATAAATACACTTTTGTCGTCTCTTCTTTAATTATTATGCAAAATAAAATATACCGTTTGATTAATTTAACAGTGGTTTATTGGAACTTAAGGTTTGAAATCCGATATGCCATTACCAACGACTTTTCCGCTGAGCTTGGTCATTTTCCAGAAATAATCAGCCACATCGGCTACGAACTTAGTAGTAATATCTTGTAGTTTTTGTGCAGTAAGCAAGACCTTGTATTGATTGTCGCTGAGACCGGTCTCAGATTCCTTGTTTAGCAGTAAGGGGGATCCTTTGAACTGAAAAACGAAATGGCAGAGATTATTTTTATAATTACAAAAAATATATGTATAGAAAGGGATTATTACCTCTTCGAAAATGTTCAGCCACATTTGATCCTTTTTGTCCATATCGTCCTCTGCAATGGCTGCGTTTAATCGCGTCACATAAAGACTGATATCCTGGGATCGCTTCGTTTGCGGATCGAGTTGGGCCTTCACTTCCGTGAAAAAAGCTATCTGAGAACGGAACAGGGAATTCAAGAGATGGACTGTCTCCTCCTTGGCTTGTCGTTCCAACTCCTTTTGCACTGGATCATCGGGATTCGACGGCACTGGATGAGTTGGTTTGGCTGCCACTATTAAAATCTGTGAAATAAAAGTAAAATCAAATGATAATACTAGAGGACTTATCGTCTTTCTCACCTGGGCCAAGAAAAATAATGGAAAATATTTCAGCAACATTTTTATTAGAGATTATATTTTTGGGCATCCGTACTCAATGAATGTTGTTTTTGAACTAATTGCTAAAAATAATAGGCATGCTTTGATTACCAGTGGGATGTTCGAATCTCTCAAGAAGCTGATAAGGTCCCGAGAGTTTCTCTGGTTAGGGAATTTCAAAGCGCGCTCTGATCGCGCGGATGATAAACAATTTTTTCATACACATTGAGAATTCCCATGTTATTTAAATTGCGTTTTAGCTTGAGGCACGTTTTCGGAAACTAAGAGCTTATTGGCACCTATCTTTTTTCCCAAGGTCTGTCTAGCTGCCTGGGTGGTATGCCACTCGCCTGATTTTGTTATCAGCTGTCCAACAAACAATAGTATAACCTTGCCAAGGGTATGTTTAATATTCAGTGTATCCTCTGCAATAGGCGACCAAATTACAGATACTAGTTTTGTGTCAGAAGTTTGTAATGTATTCTTAAGGAATATATATATGTATAATCAAGATTACCATCAGCACGCGATGCCAGTCTGATTCTATGGGATTTACCCGCTTATTGTTCAATGACTTGCAGATATCTGATTTGAGTCAATTTTTTGTATGTCTCCCCTTTAAACTGTTTTTAAATACAATACCAGAAGGAATTAAGTCGCGGATTCTAATTAAACTTTTAATTATTCCAACTTCATTCAAACTGTTAATCATTTGAATTCTACACCTATTTTGTAAAGTTTTTACTTACATTTTGTTTACATGCATTGAAGCCCAAAAAAGAATGTAGTAAAGTATAACCATTCCACAGATTTATAAACTCACCCTCACATAAGGTAATACTACTTTAAACAATTTTTTATTTGATATGGCGAAAAGTAGGCTACATTTTGAGAAAGTATGCAAATGGTTGAAAAATTAGACACATTTATTTTCACTATTTAAAACTATTTGAAATGCCAAATCGGAAATGAGTTTTTGCCTTTTTGCAATTAAGTAATAATACCGCCCGATTTGGTTGTCGTTTCGAATGATTCACGATTTCGTGATGGGTGTATAGGAATTTATCATTTAAGGCTACTATGTATCCATAAAATTTCTTTCTCGTTAATTACGCTAGGTTAAGTTCAGAAGGCACTGAACAGATTCCAGCAAATAAAAATAATAAAAAAAAAAAATATCATTTAATACAGTGGGTTTTAAAACAATAAAGCACTTAAAATATATTAAAAGGTTTTAGCTATGTAAATTGAAACTAGAAACGAATTTTCTCATTATCATTCCTTCCTCGAAACGACCTACAGTCTTGATTCACACCTTAAATTTACCTAAAGTAATCTGTGATTATTGTTATAACCGTTAAAGTGTGATATTTCCGTTATTGGAAATTTTGATACAAAGTGTGTCAAGTAAGCTTGGTGTTGCTTTATAAATACATTTTGGTCGTTGCATTTTTAATTATTATGCAAAATAAAATATACCATTTGATCAATTTAACAGTGTTTATTGGAACTTAAGGTTTGAAATCCGATATGCCTTAACCAAAGATTCTTAAGGTGAGCTTGGTCATTTTCCAGAAATAATCAGTGAAATCAGCTTTCATCTTAGTTTTCATTTCATTTAGTTTTTGACCGCGAAGCAGGTCCTCGTATTGATTGTCGCTGAGACCGGTCTCAGATTCGTTGTTTAGCAGTAAGGGGGATCCTTGGAACTGAAAAGCGAAATGGCAGAGATTATTTTTATATTTTCAAAAAATATATGTATAGAAAGGGATTATTACCTCTTCTGAAATGTTCTGAATCATTTGACCCTTTTTTTGTAGATCGTCCTCTGCAATGAGTGCGTTTAACTGCGTCAGATAAAGACTGATATCCTGGGATCGCTTCGTCTGCGGATTGAGTTGGGCCTTTACTTCCGTGAAAAAAGTTATCTGAGAACGCATCAGGGAGTTGCATAGATTGACTGTCTCCTCCTCGGCTTGTCTCCTCCTCGGATCATCGGAATTCGACGGCACTGGATGAGTTGGTTTCGCTGCCACTATTAAAATCTGTGACATAAAAGTAAAATCAAATGATAATACTAAGACTTATCGTCTTAATCACCTGGGCCAAGAAAAGTAATGGAAAATATTTCAGCAACATTTTTGTTAGAGATTATATTTTTTAGCATCCGTACTCAGTGAATGCTGTTTTTGAACTAATTTCTAAAAAGAATAGCCATGCTTTGATTAGCAGTGGGATGTTCGAATCTGTCAAGAAGCTGATAAGGTCCCGAAAGTTTCTCTGGTGTTATTTAAATTGCTTTTTAGCTTGAGGCACGTTTTCGGAAACTAAGAGCTTATTGGCTCCTATCTTTTTTCCCAAGGTCTGTCTAGCTGCCTGGGTGGTATGCCACTCGCCTGATTTTGTTATCAGCTGTCCAACAAACAATAGTATAACCTTGCCAAGGGTATGTTTAATATTCAATAGGCGACCAAATTACAGATACTAGTTTTGTGTCAGAAGTTTGTAATGTATTCTTAAGGAATATATGTATATATGTATAATCTATTACCATCAGCACGCGATGCCAGTCTGATTCTATGGGATTTACCCAATTATTGTACAATGACTTGCAGATATCTGATTTGAGTCAATTTTTTGTTTGTCTCCTCTTTAAATTGTTTTTAAATACAATACTAGAAGGAATTAAGTCGCGGATTCTAATTAAACTTTTAATTATTCCAACTTCATTCAAACTGTTAATCATTTGAATTCTACACCTATTTTGTAAAGTTTTTACTTACAAATACATGCATTAAAGCCCAAAAAAGAATGCAGTAAAGTATAAGCATTCCACAGATTTATAAACTCACCCTCGCATAAGGTAATACTACATTAAACAATTTTTTATTTGATATGCCGAAAAGTATGCTACTTTTTATACCCTTGCAGAGGGTATTATAATTTCAGTCAAAAGTTTGCAACGCAGTGAAGGAGACATTTCCGACCCTATAAAGTATATATATTCTTGATCAGCATCACCAGGAGAGTCGATCTAGCCATGTCCGTCTGTCCGTCCGTCTGTCCGTCTGTCCGTCTGTCCGTCCGTCTGTCCGTCTGTCCGTCCGTCCGTTTCTACGCAAACTAGTCCCTCAGTTTTAAAGCTATCTGCTTGAAACTTTCCCAAAAGTTGTCTTTCTATTGCAGGTAGTATATAAGTCGGAACGAGCCGGATCGGGCCACTATATCATATAGCTGCCATATAACTGAACGATCGGAAATGCCATAACTTTGGTGTTTTTAAAGTTAGGAAGTTGGGATTTTCTATGAGTTTTATTTTTGGCCAATTAATCCGACCTACCGAATTTCATAAGGATCGGACGACTATATCCTATAGCCGCCATATAATTGATTGATCGGAAATGCCATAACTTTGGTGTTTGTAAAGTTATCAAGTTGGGATTTTCTATGGGTTTTATTTTTGGCCAATCAATCCGACCTACCAAATTTCATAAGGATCGGCCGACTATATCCTATAGCTGCCATATAACTGAACGATTGGAAATGCCATAACTTTGGTGTTTTTAAAGTTAGGAAGTTAGGAAGGACTTTTTAAGAGTATTAAGAATATATGAATATATGAATAATTTTGAAGAATATAATTTACAGAATATTCTGCAAGGGTATATCAACTTCGGCTCCGTCCGAAGTTAGCTTTCCTTTCTTGTTAAGTTTGCAAACGGTTGAAAAATTAGACACATTTATTTTCCCTATTTAAAACTATTTGAGACTAAAGTAGCTTACAAAATAACACAACAAAGTACTAATGTAGACTGAATTTAGTCTGTACTAGCGCTGTGAATATGTATGTATCTTCAAAAATATCATTCTGCAGTTGCAAAAATACTTAAGAAAGCTATAACGGGCGGTAGTAAACAATTGAAAGTTATTAAACCATGAACACCTAGTTGGTCTAATCAATTTTAGCAAAGGAAACGCTATTATAAGCTTAATCTGTGTGATTAGATTAACCAAATTGCGGGTTGTTTTTGCGCGTTTTTCAGCTGCTGGTGGCCAGACAAATAAAACGATCGCACATGTTTTATGGTGTCTAATGTTTCCCCTCACAAAAAATTGGTTGCAGTATTTTAGTTGGAAAATTTGATCGATTTTATTGCGGATATTTAGAATCCTCCCGTGATAATGGCAATGATATCACTCAGAGTACGATCCCCGATGAGATCGTTGCAAATGGGAGTGACCTGCTCGCTGACCCACTCGGCGACAAAGTCGGTGCTGTCGTTGATCGTCAGGGTGACAAACTCCTCGATGACCTCGTTTAGTTTCTTGTTGAAGATGCGGTACTTGGACAGGTTCTCGATCTGCGAGTTGACATTGCCCACCGACGGGTAAATCAGCACGTCCTTCACACGGAGCTTTGATGTGAACACACCCAGGGAATAGCTGATCCTGCCACGAATGTTGAGGTTCTCAAGGGCAAAGAAGGCTCCGCCATTGCGCTTAACACGATAACCACTGCCCATTTCCATCTCATAATTGGTGGTGAAGTTAACGCTGGGGAAATCAAACTCGAAGGTCAGGCGACTCCTGATCACGTCCATGTTCATTGTCTTAACCTCGTACTGATCGAGTCCCTGCAGAACAAAGTCCTCCACACCGAAAGTACCACTGAACTCTCCCGTATTGAATTCAAACGACCTTTGCGCGGCCGTCATGGGGGCCATCACAGGAACTCCATATTTCGGGCTTCCATTTTGGAGGACTACTCTAAAGGCCTCCACGGCATCCAGAATCACGCTGGAAAAGGAGCGATCTTGAACTGAAAAATGTACACGATTATTTACTTGGTCGAGTTTTCTTGTGTTCAATTCCCACCTGCCAAAGGTTCGGCGACTTCTGCACCTTGACAGCTGGCCAGGGCCACGATAATTGCAATCAGGAGTACAGACTTCATTTTTATCAAGCACAAAACACTAGTTAACCCTCTCAGCAAACAAAATCCACTAGTCGAATCTTAGTAACGCCTGTCCTCTTATATAGGAGTACGTTCAGTGAGATAAACTATCTGTACACTAAAAAAAATGTAGGTGCCTGTGCTTAACACAATAATGTGCAAAAAAAATGCAATTGATAAATTAAAAAAAAAAAATCACATTTTGAAATGAATATAACAATATTTATAAAATAAATCTTAAATTTATTCAATTTAATTTTATATTTAAAAGTTGTTTGAAATGCTTTAGAAGAGTAAATTTAGGAAATTATAATAGGGGTATTCCTGAGATCTTACAAATATTATTTACTGTATTGCCAGCACCGTTTTCTAGTAGCTTTACATATGTGTGCGGACAGAAGCACAAAAAATGTTGATCAAGTTTTTTTATCTCTCAAGAAAAGGATACATTTTTTAATTAATATATTATTATTTTAAACATTCATTTAAGCCAAAATTTCCTTTCTGTGTTAGTACTGAAGTACCATTATTAATCGGCAAATAATTTGGCAAAGTGTTTTATGACAGATAAGACACAACTTGAGATTAGGCCGCCTTTGAAATAATACGTTATGTTACAGCTGTTGAAAGTGTTTGGGTTTTCCGGACTTTAGCTCAAGAAAGCTTGATCGACTAAAACCGAATTTTTGTGTGGGCAAAAAGGGGAATATTAAACCTTTAAAACTTCAAAAATTCGATTTTAGTCGACTTCTTTCAACTTGGAACTTAGCTTAAGACCCAATATCGGTAAGAATGCCAATGACCTATAATCGTTACGGATGCTAACGACTTTCTTAAAATCCCCACCAAACAAAAAGTCAGAGTGACGAATACTTGATTGAAAACGGTTGTTTAATCACCGATGATTTGTTTACCACTCCAACTCGGGGGGAATGCAGACCTCCTTCTCACCACCCTCGCCATCACCGCCGGCACCAGCGATAACTTCGGCGATGCTGATCTCGTCCAGAACGCTGTTCACAGCGGGAAGGGCAATGCTCTCGATGGTATCGGCAATCAGATCCTCGTTCTCATTGATGGCCAATTCAACGGCCTCGGCCAGATACTCGTTCATCTTCTCGTTGACGGTTCCATCGCCCAGGATGCCCTCGATCTCGGAATCAACCTCGCCCAAGTGGGTGCGCACCTCCAGGGACTTCAGCTTCAGTTTGCCACTCAAAACGCCCAGGGAGTACTTGAGAGTTCCCCAGATAACCATATCCTTAATGGCGAACTTAGCATGTCCGGCACCGATCAAGTTGATGGTGAATCCGAACTTCTTCAGCAGCACAGTCAAATCGTATTGGGTGTCCACGTTCACGTTGCGGAAGGAGAACTTGTAGGTGACCTTGCTGGTGATGGCGTTAACCTTCATCTCATCGACATCGAAGTCGTTCAGGCCATTGAGACGGAAATGGTCAACGGTGCCCTGAGCCTTCAGCACGCTGGTGTCGATGTTAATCGTCTTATGGTCAATTCTAAGGGGAGCCAATGGCGGAATGCCCAGGCCGGTGAAGCCGCAGGGCATCTGCTCCTTAACGCCCTCGATCACATCCACAATAGTGCTGGAGATCGATTGGGTATCTAGTTTGTACATGGATTGATAAGTAAGATCTGCGATCTGAGTATCATCTAAAATACTCACTTATGGGCTCGCCCACGGAAGCCGAACTGGCAACGGCCACAAAAGCCAAAATAGCCACGAAGATTTTCATTATTGCTTTGACTGAGAGTCCTACCAACTGATCGTAGTACGTACGGTATTTATACTACTCGATCGTCCGGTCGCACGAGCCACTTTTTATAGACGATCAACCTTTCAGGTGGGGTGGCGATAAGGGCTCTTCGTACCCGAGAACGATTTGATTAGCCACCGGGCATTCAATCGATGCCTTATTGCTGTCTTATCTTGGTCAAACGTTTTGCGGTGGCAAATTTTTTAATTTTAATGATTAGTTATATATACAACGAGGTACTTATCCCGAGGAAATGATCAGATCTGTCAGAGGGATAAAAAGCTAGATAGTTTTCACCCAAATAAAAACATTCCCTTCCTGTGAAAGTGAGTCTGATCAAAGTCTCTTATGATAATGAATCATGGTTCAAGTTATATGGTATTTTTTTTGGCTACTAAGTTTGTTGTGGATAAAAGGGTTGCTAAGTAAACAAGTCGTTAGTCTGTTTCCTAGCTTACTAATCTAAGTCGAACTGTCTGAGATCTCAAACAAACTTATTGAATATTTAATTATTTGTCAAACAATTGTTTTTTTAATTACTTTAAGCCAATCTATGTTTGGACAGTAAGTTTCTTTAAAAACTTTCCGAACTTAAGGTCATGCAGCTGACAGGACTGAAAAGGAGTACTCAAGATTAAATAATGCCAATCATTATTAAGCTAGAAATAAATCCAAGAAATCCCCAGGTTGATAAACAGGAACTAAATTCAGAACAAAGCCTTGTTTGTTTGGATTAAAACAATCGGTGCACTTCTGCGGATCTAAAGTCTGCGAACAAATTGTTATTTGATTTACAATCTAACCATTTTCGAGTGCGTTGAGTGATTTATGGCTGATAACTTGATTGGCTTATTTTAAAGACTTACGGATGGATCTAATAATAAGCGAACCCAGACGGTCAAGACCAGATGGCTAGCCGAATACTCTTTTAAATGAATTATGAGCCCTAAAGTTTCCGCCAGTCCTAACCCATCAAAATTATTAAACAGTTGTTTGGCAAATGGATTATTTCGCATTATAAAATTTCAATCAAAGTAGCAATAAATCACTTTTTGAATAGCCTTAAACGTTTTGAAGAGTATTAGTTAAGTCGGTGAAGTTATGATGACACAAGAATTTACCCCAATGGAGAGATACGAATCGGTCAACATCGGTAATCCGTGGACACCTGCAAAGAGTTTGACGCAGTTCTCCCACCTGGTCATAATCCATTTGTATGTGTTTCGCAATGATAAACCATATATATTCTCTAAATAATTTTGACATTTCATTGGTCAATTGATCGTCGAGATTAGGCCAAAACAACCACTTATGCGACACGAGTGTTATTTTTTGCTTTGAGGTCTTAATTGCCGAGTGATTGAATTCCTTCGCGTAAATCGGGAGTCTATCGTGTTAAGTGCTAATCAGTACAACTGATTAGCATGTGTATGTTAACCCGGTAAATCGAATCCGTCCCCTCGCCGCACCCTTAAAATCCCAAAACGTTGCTATAAAAGCCACAGACTGACTGGAACAATCAACAAGGTGGTACAATGAAAGCCATAGCTTGTGTTTTTGTGGCCCTTTTGGCCTGCGTAGCAGCCTACGATGTGGAGCTTCTCAGCGAGGAGCAGTGGAACCAGCTGGTCGAGCGCAATCGTAAGTGTCCTACGCTATCTCTTGAGCACATAAAGGGCTTATTAAGCTGTAATTCTCCGCAAACAGCTGTCAAGCCCGATACGCAGGGCCTGATCTTGAATGGATCGGCCAAGAAGGCCATCAAGGGTTTGCTGAACCAAATGCCCTGCGGCTGGCCCCAGTACGGAATCCCCCCGTTGGCCCCCTATACCAACGCCAATCTGCGCATCCACTTGGCCGAGTCGGTGGTCGAGTAAGTAACTTTGAATTCAGATGATCCTATTATGGCTTCATCTAATTGTCGTCTTTAGTACCCTGCTGCAGTTCCTGCGATTCCGCTTCGATGGCCTGGAGAACATGGAGGTCAAGCAGCTGAAGATCAGCTACACCTTCAGCAAGAAGGTCAAGTTCCATTTCAAGTTCAAGGAGCTTAAGGCCAGCGCCCATTTCCTGGACACCAATACTTTTGTGGACTTCCTGAAGCAACTGGGATTGTCTGTGCGCTACGAGAGCTCCGGTCCATTGTCCTTCAGCCTGGAGGATCTGTCGATTCAGGGCGAGTTCAAGTACAAGATGCCCTTCATCTTTGGCTCCATCAAGATCTACAAGTTCAGCTGTGTCGTTGGCCTGGGCGGCGTGACCTCCAACATTGGCGGCATCATGGGCAACGGCAGGATCAATGAGTTCATCAACGACATGGTTGACAAGGAGGTGCCTGCCTTCATCAATGGCTACCAGAAGCAAATTAGCGCTAAGATCGAGGAGATCTTTGTGCCGCTGGTCAATGCTCATCTCACGGGTCACAAGATCTGGTACCTGATCAGCATGCTGTCCGCCGTCACCGGCAGCTGCAACGCCACCCCCGCCCCCTGGTTGGCCGTGGAGTCGAGGAAGATTGACTAGAGGAGCAGCACCATCAACCATCAATAAAAAGCAATTCAAACGAGTCCACGATCTACGTTTTAATTAGCCCCCATTCCGCTTGCTATCTTCGCACAGTATCACCTTTTTCCGTTATCGCCCGGGATTGTTTTCGGTATATAAGACTCTGGCCGGGGGTTAGCCAATTCAGTAGCAAGTTTAGTTACTAAAAGCCACAATCAACCATGCGTTTCCTGGTAGTCTTGGCCTGCCTGGTGGCCGTTTGTGCCGCCGGCACTCTGCCCAACAAAGTGGAGCAGCGTCTGATGGAGCTGGCGGATCAGAATGGCGACATCGATCTGTTCGAGGAGCCCCAAGAGGGAGTTGAAGGTGAGACTATGTCGAACATTCACAGACATTCCGGCCGTTTTTAGTACTCTTTTCTTTGGTCAATTAATTATTTGGTAATTTATTTATTTTTCGGTAATGAGATTGATTTTATGAGATTGATTTATGGAGTATATTTTTCGAGACTAGTTAAAACAATATTTACATTGGTAGTTTCAAAAATAATTTTTACAAAAAATCAATCTACTAATTTCCCGAACTCTAGGTTAATTTTGTATCGCCTAGTTTTGTCGCGAGAATGGCGCAAATATTAATGCATAATTCTGATAAAAAGTTAATTGCATAAACATTATTACAAATTTAAAACGGTTTTAATCTCTAATTACTAATGTCAAGTCTAATGTCCTTGGTTAAACTTTATGAAGTGAAGCTATACCATTGAGTTCGTGTTGTGACTAAAAATCAAAATCAATTCCATAGTTGCCCCGCAGTTCATCGTGTCCTGGCAGGCGCGTCGCTTCATCCGCAAGTTGCAGAAGCAGATGGAGTGCGGATGGCCTCAGTATGGCATCCCAGCATTGGCTCCTCTTCGCATCAACGAATTTGACTTGGACTTTAAGAAGGGCATCTTCGAGACCCTGAACCACGTGTTCCGCTTGAAGATCGCCGGATTGGACGATTTCAAGATTAAGAAGTTCAAGCTGAACGTGATCACCAGCAAGGTGACCTTCGATTTCCTGTTCGCGAACATCGACACCACCGCCCAGAAGTACAGCACTGACACGCTGATCGATGCCCTGCGCCAGTTGGGTCTGTCCGTGGAGTACGAGGGAGCTGGAGAGCTATTGTTCGACCTGATCAACCTGCGCATTGCCGGCACCCTGAAGTACAAGCTGCCCATGCTGTGGGGCTCCGCCAAGATCACCTCGCTGAAGACCACCATCTCGCTGGAGTCCGTGGACTCTGACATCACTGGATTCATGGGCAATGGCAAGATCAACCGTGCCATCAACAGTCAGCTGGAGAACATTGTGGTGAAGGCCATTAATGGCAACCAGGATACCATTTCCGAGACCATTGAGAACGCCATCGTGCCCCGAGTGAACAAGATGCTCAAGGGCAAGGACTTCTGGACCATCGTGGACCTGATCCTGTCCAGCAGCGATGGCGAGAGCGAGAGCGATCCGATTGTCGTCGACTGCGATCCATCCGCCGATCCCTGGGCTTAAGTTCTGAGGCGGAGGTCAATAAATACTTGTCGATACATTCAATCATTGGTCTACTTTTGGGGGTTGATCTTTTCTGAAGCCCCAGTTGAATTTCGTTTCCAGTTCCCAATTTTAGTATCAATACAATTGTAACTATTAACAAATATAGTTTTGACAATTTTTGAGCAAGATTCAATTTTGCTACATGTTTTACTGATATTTAAAAGAACTAAAAACTAAATTGCTGGAATTTGTTTAAAATATGTTTTACCTTTTAATTTTGTATGGATTTGGGAACAAAAACGTTTATCTCCTTTGCACCTGCCTAATCCAATCTTATCGAATTTCGCTACTTAAGTGGCTAATCGTTATTGCTGATTGGGTAGAGGGAAAAAAATACTTGGTTTGGTTGAATCATTAATAGTTTCTGTTTGGTATTCATGATGAGAGCTTCGTGTGTTACTTTTCTGGCCCTTCTTTGCTGCTCCTTGGGATCCGCCAAGCTCTTCGATGATGAGCTGCGCGAACTGACGGAGTTTCTGCGTTTGCAGATGCGATGTGGATATCCGGCTAGAGGTGTTCCCATTTTGGCCCCAGCCGAGATTTCCTACAAGGAAATCGGCATCAGAACTGATAACTTTGGGTAGTTAAACTATGACATTGTGAATCCACAACCGAAATAATTCTAATACGAATAATGTTAATCTACAGTTGTAATGGAAACTTCACTGAACTGATTATCGAAGGTCTGGATGGCTACGAATTCTCCAAGCTGGAATGGAACAACGTTCTGCACACCATCAAGTTTGATATCAACTTCCCCAAGATATCCCTGAAGAGCTCAAACTATAAGCTTAATATATTGGCTCGCCTTTTTGGCGGCGATTTCTCCCTGTGGGGTGATGGTGTGTTTAGTCTGGAGTTGATCAACTTCCGAGCTTATGGTAGCTTCGTTATTCGTCCTAAATCGGCCACCAGTGGGGTGTACGCAAAAAGCTGGAAGGTCAACTGGGAGTTGGAGGAGGCTAGATCGCAGACTACGGGCATAATGAATAGTCGTCTGTATTCGAAATTCGTCAACGATTTGGTTAAGGAGTATCTGGAAATCCTGATCAATGACAATCCCGAAGAAGTTTCTCAGTTTATGGAGGAACTTATTGTGCCGCCAATGAACTTGGTGCTGGATAATATAGCCTGGTACGAGATTACCGCTATCATTTTGGGTCTGGTTGATGGAATTCTGCCGGTTGAGCCGATTTGCTGAAGTACTGCCGTTGAGGAAGTCGACTGCCAGGTGTTCAAGTGTTTAAATGTGAATAAATGGCTTAGGAAATATTTGATAACAAATTAAGTGGAATTATGTGGTCTTATGTGTCTTTTTGGTTGGTTATCGAAGTGCTCTTGAATATTTCTTGGGAGTTTCTATAGTCAAGGATGCAATTACAAAAGTTTCTAAATGATTTGCCTTTAATATTTACTAAGTATTTATGTATATATTTTGTTTACGTTTCAAGTCTTGAAACATTCGTTAGTCAAATATATTATTCAATATTATTAATATCAAATTATTTGTATTCAACTGAAAAGTTTATTTAATATTTCAGATTCTAATATTACTTAAAGTACTAATAAATCATTTTTCTTTAACTCTTTTTGCAGGTAAGCTCGATTAGATTTCCAGTTTATTGGCAGTGAGTATAAACAATATTCCCGGCCTTCATCATTAATTTCTATTTTTGGGGACCTCCATTTGGTGTTCTAATCGTTTCAACCATAAATTAATGTTGATCTTTGTGCGTTGAGGGGAGGCGAAAGCAAAGTCTATAATCGGATTGGGAAATGTGGAAAACGCTGTCGAGCAGCGCCAGCAGGACATCTCAATCGCCGGCCTCAAACCGAAGCACGAGTCCTGGCACAGCAGGACTTCGACGGGTGGTCCTGCGATTTTCGGTCCAACACTTTCTAGGCTCAGATTTGCGAGTGGCTTTGCCAGCAGCTGTTTTTTTTTTGTTTTGTTTTTTGTGACACTCTCCTTTATATCCTTTTCCAGATTTCGTTGAGATTATTTTTTAGATTGCGGTCTAATGTCATCATTTGTTGTTAATTAGTTCAGAGTACTGTAGAGCACCTCCTTGCTCCATGGCCCTCTCAAAACTCTCTTTTCAATTTCTCCGGCATTCTTTCATCGCATTGAAATTCGATTTGGCTCATTTCATTTGCAATTTACGAGCCATCTTTCTCCCTTCTTTACGTATTTCGGGGCACACCTTGCGTCTCCTCGAGAGATTGTCATAATGCAAAAATAAACAAAAAGCCGTTTGGGTTTTTGTCAAGAGTACGTGCTCAGTGCCCATCTGTGAGATGTCCTGCTGCTTGTGGCATTGTCTCGAAGGAAGTTTTACGACCTACCGGACAGTCTGTTGCATTGTGCATTGTCCTTGCCGACTAACAGACTTTTTGGCCACAATCCGAGCTCGAGGAAGCCAAGCCATTCCAAGCCGAAAACGAAAACTAGCAAAGGCAACCCAACCCCATCCATTTGTTGACATTTACGAGGCAATTTTCCAAAAGCCATTAAATTCTTTTAGCAATATGTACCGCCAACCCAGAGCTCGGGGCTTCGCTTTGGCCTAGTTTGATTAGCCTCAATTTGTGTATGACCACAAAAATCTACTGAACTCATCTCATCTTCAATGGGAGACACTTAAGTGTTGGTTTTTGCATATGCTATGGGCTCCCTGGGTGGCTGCTTAAGGATCTCAGCTGGAGGTAGGAAAAATTTGCAAAAGAATCTCAAGCATCCTTTATGGGTACCCCACAATGGAAAGAACTTATGAGATACTCTATTATAGGGGATGTTAAAGATTTTGTTTGGTGCATTTAATGCTTATCTTTATGGTTGATCTTGTCAACTATTAAATGTCTTCTTTGCTAAAGTTTATAATAACTAATGTACCATTATTAAAGGTTTACTTGTTTTTCTTATTTGTTCCTTGTGCAGGTTATTACAAAAATATGTACTTCTAAATTAAAGTATTTTTTTATTACTAACAAAGGAAAATTAAAGCTTTTAAAAACTAACTTCCTCATAAAAAACTTGTTTACTTGCCAGCTGAAGTTTTTAATTAGTTTGTTCTTCTTTCACTTAATTTTGTTATCCGCTTTTAAGTGTGTAAGATAATTAGAGGGAATCCCTTTCACAGTTTTATTCTACCTTTCAAGGCAACCCCTCAAAAGAGTTTTAACCACTTAACTGGTTCTTGAAATCCCCCCTTTGAAGTTGCCCACATCCACGGAGCCCACCTTAGACCAACTTTAATTGCCTACGCTTGTTTTTGGGCCTTCTGAGTGCTTTCAGGCCTCACCTGCTTCCACCAGTCCTGCCACAAGGCTAATTGAAAGAGCGAGCGCCAAGCTTTGCTTTTCATTTTCCACACCGGTGAAAGGCGTAAATATTTGCATTCTGGGCAACCCTTTTGCGCCAAGGATTGACTGCCCGAAATTGGGGTTAATTTAAAATTTATGATGCACTGAATTGTTGAACACTCGAATTAGGATTCATTAGAGAGCCACTCTGAGGGGGGAAATAAATCATAGAGTGCCAAATGATACAATAAGATAAGATACAAAATGGGTTACGACACAGAAAGTACCTCCATATGAAATATCCTTTTGTTTACTTAAAGAAGCTGAGCATCGTTGTTTTCCCTCTTGTTGCGCATTAAATGGGTTTTAATTTGAAACGTAGTAAGATCGCGACTTCTGCGTCCTGTGCCCCTTTCGCGGCAATTGTCCTGGCCAAGTCAACGGTGAAAACGAGATGAGAAAATTCAAAATACCAGGAGCAAGGCTTCGCTGTAATTGAGCAGCGCAATTTCCTGAAAATCGCACGCGAAGAAAAGGTGCGGTGTCCTGTAAATGAACAGCCGCCACCGTAAAAAAGAAATATAGTAGGCAAAAAGGATGCGGCAGAAGGTTGCAAGACTGGCGGCTCCGTTTTGTGCGCTTTACTTTTATTTTTTTCAATTAAGGTTGACATGCCCCTGTACTCATCTCGAATTTGTTTCATGAGCCAAGTCATGCTGAAAATTGCGCATTTGCTGCGAGCTGCAGATGGGTTGCCATGGCAGTTTCCTTCTCCAGGCCCGTCGAAAGTTTTGCCTAACAGGATTACAACCTCTACTTGCAGTCTTCGGTTGGTTGTAAATTGCTTGCTTCGCCTGCAAGTTGTGCTTATCTCCTCATTTAATCCCTCTTCCCTGAGGTGGGAATGATGGGAATCAATCAATTTGTTGCTCTGCTGGCTGCTCTAATTGAGAAATTCCTAGAAAGTGGGATTGGCAGGGAGTTTGGGAGGCTCATAATGAATTAATGTCTCCCTAGGAATTGAAGTTGCTGGGCCCATTCAATTAGTTTCTTTGCTTTGATGAACTTGTAAGTCCTTTAAGTTTCAAAGAAGCAACAAATACATTTTGAAGTTTTAAGCAAATGGACTTAAATAAATCATTTTAAAATGATTTCCTAATCCAATTAAATCAAACTTCTTTCTGATATCTTTTAGAAAGTTAGCCATGTTATTTCCTGAATAATTAACAATGTCTTACTAAATGAACTAGAATAGTCACTAAATTCATTACCTTGCATTGAAATTCAGAATTCCAATATATTATTTATTCTTCCTTCCGTTATTGGTATAATTTTACTGCCAATCAATATACCGTATCAGTTTCATATCTGCTGGTACCGCTAATGAAGCCAGCCCACATGCGCGTTAGCTTTACTCTTTTACACTCCGGCATTCCATCCATCAATCAATCAGTCATTTCAATTAGGCTCCTTAATCCTTGCCTGGCATGCACAAGGAGGTCCTCGCAAATACTGAATATGACTTATTAGTCTTTTGACAGCTGTCAAACCAAGAAATGCAGACACTTGCAGTTGCTCGCGATTGTGATTCCCTATTCCCTATTCCATATCCAAATCAGATCTCAGGCCACAGCAAGCTGCTCCATTAACATGACAAAGAAGTAGGTGTCCTGCCGTTTGCCTTTCCAGTTCTACCACCATTCGAACTTCCAGCAATGGACAGCTGTTGCAGGGCATACTCGTATCTTTGATGTGACACTTTTGTCAAATGTTTACACCTTTAACCCTTTGGCGCCATTGTCTTACGGGTCCTGGGGTTAAGACCCTCGAATCGAAAAATGCTACAAAATACAATCTGTGTTCGAATTGTTTATGATGCTTTGTTAATTTTATGTTTCATTAGGGGCATTTGTTAAGATTTTATGGGCCCCGAAAAGCAATTTTGTCTGAAAATTGTTGAATGCGAAAGGTATATAGAACAGCAAAAATATATAGAGTAAGTATGTGAATATTAAAACCTCGGCTGACCTAGATTGTTTAATTTAAACCATTTTAAGAATATATATAAGCAATGAACCATTTGCAGAATGTCCAAATTGTTTTTATAAATTGTAATTAATCTATTTTTGCATTATAAATTTATTCTTATGAGTATTCAATAATGTTTTTGTGAATATCATCGTTCTCAAGCGAGTTTTATGCCATGTCCTTGCCAACTTGGTTCAACTCATTTGCAATACCACACAACCATGACCAAATAAAGTTATATCCGCCTGTCAGCAGCTATGGCAACAATTTCGAACCCATCTCGAGTCATTCATCAAAATTATGTCAAATCATGCGAGCGGCTGTAAAAAATTTCCGAAAATCCTGCATGAGGATAAACAAAAAAATGATGGAAAAAAAGGAAAGCGGTAAATGCTAATGAAAATCAATGCAAAACTGCACAAAATTCCGTGCAACCGCCAAGACATCAGTCCCATCATCCACGGCGCATGCGCAGCTGCCTCAGGACGACCGGGCACACCACTCACATGAAGCTGTCATGTTTCTGGGCAGGCCACACCGCAGTCATCCTCTTCCGACAGACAACAATTACAATTTCCCTCCGCCCAACTGCAACGTCATTTCTTATGCCTGGACTCATCATATTTTCCTTGCGGCTGCCTTCAGCTGATTTGCATTTTTAATCTCATAAGGATGTGCTGCCAGGCATTGTCCTTCGTATTGTGATGCATTTTTTTCCTCCGTGCGGTTACTCAAGCTGCAAGCCAAGATGGAAAAAAATCTCAGACAGCCAAGGAGAAAAAAAAATCAGCCCCCCGGTAGGGGTCTTCTTTTCTGATCTACATATGTTTAATCCTGGATTTCTGACACGACAGACGAATAGCTGTCCGTCCTGCCCGCCTTGTGTGAGAGTGTCTGTAATCCTGGCTGTCTTGGGACGCCTCATCCCGTCACGTTACGCTTGAATAATTAGAAGTAATTAAA